AATTTAACTGCTGTATCAGCTAAAAAATTTCACTTTCAAAGCACATGTGCCATAGGACAGTTAAAGACAAAACATACCATGGCACTAGAGTGAACACAAGTGAAGTCTCTAATTTTGCATGCCTAATGAAGATACAACTCTGAATTATGAAAATCTATAAAAAGTTTACTTCATTTAAAAAAAAAATTATATGATAATTTCAAAATTAAATTCCATACTACTATCAAGAGCATATATATAAAATAACATGTTAAAAGTTTTAAGTTTGCTGTAAGGTTTCTCATAATACACTTTACATTTTATAAATGGAAAGAATAAAACTAATATTAAATTTTATAATTATATATATTTATAGTTAACTATTCACATTAAAAACTCTTTAGTTTCCTCTGAAGATATACATACTATATGAAATAACAGAATTTTTGCATATTTTCATTTTATGCTTAAAAAATGTATTTCAACAATATTTCACATTTCATTTCAATCCAAAGTCTATTACCACCAAATACAAAAACTCACAAATTTAGGAATGATTTACGCACTTCAATAAATATGCTAAATGAATTTCATGTAAAATTTCTAATGAATAATCTTTTTTTTTTTTTTTCCTATTTAATTGCTTATTTCCAACTTGTAGAAAAATATTTTTTTTTCACTTCAAATTATTACATATACTATTGAAAGAGAGAGAAAGAGAGACAGACAGGGTTTTAGGAAAACTTCACAAATCTAGACCATTTTTTAAATATATATATATATATAAATATATTCTGTTTTCAATTTATAAGAAAAAACACAAAATAAAAGCTTGCCATACATTTGTTAAAAAAATATATACACTATGCATTTATAGAAATATTAATATTATAACAGTGTGATATTAGTTAAGGGTAGTCTGATCCAGTATAACTCTTGCAATAGAGCTTTTTTATAATATAGAATGTGCTTTAAAAATTTTGAAAAATTAAACTTTTCATAAAAATAAAAATTTTGAAATATAGTCAAAAATAATAATTCTGAAAAAGATCAAGAAAGATATATTTCAGAAAAATCTTTTAAAATACCAGACTGAAAACAAAACTGTTATCAGTAGCTGTAACAGTCAAAAAATAAATAAATAAACAGTATTCTGTTTTAATATGATGGAATTTATATTTTGACTATAATGTAAATATTTATATTCACTTATAAAATTATACACCAAATCATATTTTTATCTTTTACCATTTCCTGTCGCTCACAAAGATCAGATACAACAATTTTTCAAGTCTCTAAATTTAGCTTAATTAAATATGCAATTCTAAAAATAATGTTCTGATTCATTTTAACCCTCAGTGGCTAAAATTTAACTCTGAAACCCTAAAATTCTACAAAAGGCCAGAGGTAAGACATATCCCTGATTATAATTCCAAAATGACCCATTCAATTTATACTTTGACTCCTTTTATTTCAACTGTATGAACATATTTCAAGATATATATTTGTGTAATTGGAAAAATTTTTCTCAACCCTTTGGCTCGCTTCAGCTTTTCTGAATTTTATTTTGCTCAACGGCCTACCGAAATTTCAGTCCCTTAGTAACAATGATATATTAGATGTTTTTCAAACATAATCTACAGACACTGACTGAAAGCACATGAAAATTTTTAGGTTATTTATTGCCTTCATACTGCATCAAAACTAATACTTAAAATTCATCATATAATACAGATACAGAATGGTAATGATGAACATGCTAGATATCACTGGAAATATTGATTAATCTTTATGTTTTCATAATACTAGACTGATAGTTTGTTCCGTTCCAGTCTCCTTAAATAGAAAAATTACACTATATACAACTTGAGACAAGATTATAAAGGGTCAATTGTTATGATTCTTGTAAAGATGCATATTTGTAATCTTGTATAACAAGATAATGTTTAAATATTTATTTCAAAAGTATTCGAACAACAAAATTTTCTAAATATTTTTCTACTGTTCCCTTCCTTTTCAGTATCCCCTAACTGCTCATCAGCCTCGTAATGCTGTCTTTCCCTGATCTCTTCATCATCACTTGCGTGCAATAATGTCCACACTGGGAAACTATGCATAAGAACAATATTTAAAATATTAACAAAAAAAAAAAAAAAAAAAAAAAAAACTGTTAATGAAGCACTTAATTTTATCGTACTTCCATCAAAAATATGATAAAAGTAACACACCATTAGTTTTTAATAAATTTATTAAATAAAAATTGTTTGCATCTTCTTACAAACTATCTTCACATATCTAAAAGATTACACTCCCCCCAAAAAAAGTTAAAACTCGCTAGATTTGTGAATTACCATTGCAACTAAAGGCCACATTTATCATAATGAAGGCTAAAAATTTTAATATCTGGGCATATTTGCTACAATTAAATAAGAAAATTCAATAGTTAAATCACTCTTTTTTCACTTAACTAACTTTTTTTTAAAGTAATCTTAACACAACTTTAAATCACATTAATTTTCATCTATGTAATTAGATACTAATATTCAATTACCAGATATATTCAAAAAATCTCTATAATGGAGGCATAACTTTATAATACTCATTAACAATTCCATATTTATGGTATGGGACAACACTCATTACAATGACCACTCATAAAAGTTACCATTCCATTAAAATGGCCAGTGTCTGCAATTAAAATGAATATACTAAAACCACTTTCATTACAGGAACTACTCATAACAACAACTTTTTGCTTAACAACATAAGAAGTTCTATTACGAGCTTTGTTCGTATCAATTTATTTATCAAAAACATATAGGAAAACAATTGACAATGAGAAATTGCAATATAGACTAAATGAAAGAGTGTTTTATTTTTCAATTCACTTTGCCCGTGAATCAAAATTTCCCAAGAACTGAGAGATAGACATGAAAAAAATACAAGATACATGAAAGTAAGAACTTTAAAACTTAAATACTGGATGTACGACTTTATATATATATATAATAAATAAAATTTAAAAAAATTAAAAAAAAAACTTTAATTTGTGGTTGATGGCAAACAGTAGTAGAGTTTTAACTATTTTTTATTGGCTGATCACCTGATACTTAATAAAATTATTAACGTTAACGCTACAGTTTTATTTTCCCTTTGCTGTATCTTTGGTATGTGTTTTGACTAGAAAATAGATAATACTTGATAAAAATTCATGAAGTTTAAAATATCATTAGTATTTGGGCATTACAGAATAATTAAAAGAACAATTAATAAAATATTGAACATCAACTTTGTTTTGCCTAACTAAATTCAGGTCAGATCTGACTGAGATATTTTATCAAAAGAAAATATCAGTTCTGATGCAGCATTTTCAGCATCATAGATAAAACTTCAACCAACAAAACACAATAGCTATTTTATTTTAATTTGATACTAATTCTAACAATGATAGTTTCTCATAAGTTAAGAATTAGATAAGTATACTTATCTAAATCAGCAAATCATTAGTTAAAAGCATTTAAAAGGAAAATAAAATTAGATAACTATTTGTGTTAAGTACATATACAGATTTAATTCTTATAATTTTATACTAACCAAATTTTTTAAACTTGTTAAGAAATTAATTTTTTAGGACTTAAATTTCATTTTTAGGGGACTTTTACATTATTTTGTTCTACATCTGGTAATCACATCACAGATATTTTCATGAAAAGTATTTTAAACAGGTGACCAACCATTAACTGTTGAAAAGTTTACTGTTAGTAGCAGGGCTGTGGAGTGGGGGTCGTAATCGAAGTCGGGCAGATTTTGGGGTAAAAGGAGTTGAAGCTGGAGTTGCTAAAAAGAGGATGACTCATATTCCAGTTTTTGTTGGACAGTTTAAATTTGAAATGAAATTAAAATGAATTGAAGAAAATTAATGACAAGCTGAGTTATTACTTTTATTTATGAACTATATACATTAATAAATAGTTATTTTCTATTTAATTGACATATTAATAAATATAAGGCAGGAGGGTGGATTTGGTATTTGCCATTAGTGATTAAACTGATTCATTTGGTTACAAATCTCACTGGTAAATTTATGTGAGCAGCAATATCAGCAAGAACTCCCAAAATTGATGTCATTCTTAGGAAGCAAGCAGAAAAAGGAGCAAGTATTGATCAAGAAACACGATAAGGAAGTACACATTTGATGATAAAGAGGTTTTTAGAATTAAGAACTTTTGTAGAAGATGTAGATAACCCTAATGTTTCACTAATCAAAATACTGTGGAATGATCTTACAGAATTGGAAACTCTTCTTTCTACATTGTATATAGCCACAAAAAAAAGCTGCAATCTGAAGAATTAACAGGAGGCAAGAATGGAAGAATGGCATGCTTGTCCTTTCTGAAATGGAGGATTTATTGCAGAAGGAATCATTTCTTCAATGAAGAAGAGAAACTAGTTTGCTAGACAATCTTGCTAGGTTCAACATATGGAGATCCGAAACACCGATTTTTCTTGGATGACGAACAAATTAAAAAGGCAAAGAAAGCCACCTATGAACTTTCATTAAGAACGAAATTATTCTCAGAACAATTGGAGAATTCGAAACAGGACAGTCAAACTGCAGACACTGCAACTGAGTCTCTATCATTCTCATCCAATGATGAATTAGATTTTGAGAAATATTTTTGGATAATATTGAAAAGGCTAAGGCAAAGCGAATGAAAATAAACAACCAAGAGCCTTTAGATATAAAAATGAAAAAACACAAACAAGATTTCTACACGGCCTTAGAAGAAATAGAGAAATGTGATTGGTCTTGCAAGACACCTCTTTTAGAAAATCTTAAAAAAATCTATCTTGAAAATTTAAAAGAGGTAGCCTGAAAAGTAACAGCTTTTCCTCCTGCTCAAGTCAGTGTGGAAAGACTCTTCTCAGTTCTGAAGTTTATCAAATTGGATCATTGGTCTTTCAACAAAGAAGATCTTGCCTAAGCCATACTGTTTCTTAAAAATAACATTTCATAATAAATGCTAATTAATATAAATAATTTGCTATGATAATTTTTTTCTGTAGCATTTATCACTTCTTTTATATTGAAAAAATAAGCTGTAACCCATGTGTATATATTTACATATATATATGAGGGAGTGAGTCGGTTATTTTCTCTACCAACTCCACAGCCCTGGTTAGTAGAGTACAATAATAATCAGTTTATACTCATATAATAAAGGTAATTAAATATTTTAAATTTTGCCTAACATAAACGTTTTAATAATAAAAAAGAAAAGAAACAAACATATAAGATACAAGTACTGCAAGCCTATAATTGCATACATAACAACTTTCACTATTATGTTATGAAGAAAAAAAAAAAAAAATCCTTTAATACAAAAATTAAATTAACAAAAAAGGAATGTCATTGATATATGATCAATATCTTAAAAAAATTCAGTCACAGGTAGAAGTTGCTTTTAATATTCCTGCTGAAAAAGTACTAAGATCCTCCACTTAAACTGAAGTACATGATATGATATAAAAAATGTAGTCAAGCATTTCTTTAAAATTTGTACTGCCTGGCTCCACACAGCTGACCTCATTAGTGAATGGCACAACACCGCAAGATAGCAATGGCTATTGCTGCCTCTCAACGGCTACCTCCACGGTGGCTCAGCTCCTCAAATGGAGCTAAATTAAGAACAGCTCTCTTCAGATAAAGTAAGGGATCCTTCAAGAGTTGGCCCACTGAAGGAAAGAAAGCAGATCTCTGACAGGTACATGATGTGCTAGGGCCTTTACTCGTAAATTACGATCATCTGTCAATAAAACAACTTCTCTAAATAGACTGATAGGATCTCCTAAGAAAAATAATAAAAGGAGAAAAAAGGATCAATTAAGATAGTAACAAAAACATTAAACAGATATACAGACATATTAAAAACAATAAACTGCATACACAATCAGACTGTCATAAAAATAAAAGCACTATGTTATCCAGTTCTTTAATTGATAAATTTATTATAAAAGAAAATTCTACATTTTACCAAGTCATATTAGTTGCTTCGGGCACAGCTTAAGTACACTGTGCAGTTTAACATAATCATTAATACAACTCGCATGATAGCAAATCAAAATTAAATACAAAAATTTACTAACATGCCAAAGTAGCTAGATGCAAAAATATCTGCGGAATAAAATCTGAAGCAACTGTCACAAATAAATCTGGTAAAAATGTTTTAAAGTAGTTTTGGTCAAATTAAAAAAATCATGATCGACCTCTATATTTTTGTCTTCAAACTGATCCTTCAAGTAAAAGAAACATTTTAATATTTCAAATGTGTGTTCAATATTTTAACATGGAATTTGATACAAAGAACTATATAATTGACTTTTTTACGAATTCAGATGAAAGGGCAGATGGAATATTCCAATGTTTGAAAAATACTCAAAACAATTCGAAACTAGAATAGATAAAGAGTTTTTTGTTTTACTGCAGATAATACAAACTGTAATTCTGAAATTGGACATTCCTTAGTGGCTTTCTTTGCAGTAATATATTGAAAGAGTTTCTTAAGTTTTTATTTCTTAAGCAGACCAAATAAGTGTTCTAAGCAATTATTCAAACTGCTTAATTGATACATCTATAGAAATTATACTGATTATTGAAATGCAGTTATTGTTCTTGCAACATTTAATGCCAATATTCAGTTTAGCTATTGAAGAACCAGAGAACAAAACCTCGCATATGGATATTTTCAATATTTGGACTAACTTAAGGAATAAGCTTAAATCTCAATGTGATGAGTAATTTTTTTACTTTCAAATTCATCATTATTAAAAAAAATAGATACTGCAGAATCTCAAGATTATCAATAACTTTATTTTTTCTTCAGCAGTTTCTTATTTAGAATTGATGAAAGAACACACTGATGAAACAAAGAACGATTGATACGAACGAAGAACGATTGAAACGAAGAACACATTGATGAAAATTCCACACTTAACAGACTGTCAATTCTAAGTCTGTTAAGTATTTTATCTCCAACATACCAGAAATGTCTTGAAGTTATTAAAGATTTTGACTATGGATGAACAGAACCTTTCTAGTCTAAACATTTTACAAGATCCAAAACATCAAGCAAGAAATAATTTTAAAAAGTGCTGATCATAAATGCATGAATGTTTTTTAAAAGGCTTCGTATTCTGTAATATCAGCATGCCTGCAATATCAGCATACTGTGAAAGTATTTTTAAGTGAAATGTCGACTAAATGGACAAATGAACGAAGCAGATTGTCAGGTTGTAACTTATAAAATAAGAATTATTTATGTATCTTAATTTGAAAAGAAGTTGTTCAAAATTTACCAAAATAATAAATGAATAAATAAACACACAGATAAGTGATGCAGATTCTTTCAAGCCAGCAAAAAACCAGAACAAATATAATTTTAAAAATTAAAAGTTTAGTTTGAAATCTTTCAAATATTTTTTAAAGATTTTCTACATTTTTGAATTAAAAATTTTTAACTGATTTCTAATGATTATTCTAAAAATGCATCTTTAGTGTTTAAATGAGTCAATACGTTATTATCTAAATTAATAAAGTAAAACATTTTTCGAATGTTTTCAAAGTTTTAAAATATTGTTCATTCACATAAACACTAATTCTAGAATAACATCCATTGGACACGATAATTTTTTACATTTCAAATAAAACACGCCTAAAAGCATTGCATACATATTTTCTGAACACAGGATTTAGTTGAAAAAGACAACTGAATATTATTTAGTTCCATGTCTATGAGAAAATCAGCATTTCAGAATGAAAAATATAAAATTTTGATGTAAGCAAATTTTAACAATTCTGCATACAGTTAAATATCTAATTTTCTACAAAAGGAAGTAATAATTTTAATATTCACTTATTGCATATTTATACTTAATTGAAGAGTAGGTCAGAGAAAGATAAATACATTTTACACATAAACACTTCTCCATGAGCTATTAGAGGAAAATCATGACAAATTAAATTTACTTCTGCTGTGGTTAAGTACATAAAATATAATCAGTAAGAAATTTGGTGTTGACTAAATAAAATGCCTTCTCTGATAAGTAATAAATTAATCATGATAAATATAAAATTCTGATGACTTTTTAATATTAAAAAAAAACATAATTTAAAAATGTTTCCATAAAATTTAGAATTTTAATCGATTTCAAAAAAAAAATTTGTTTAATACATGTAATGCACACGCTTGTTTGAATATTCATCCAGAAACTTCTAAATATATGAAAATAAAATCTTATTAAATATCAAACTATAAACCGATTTAAAACAATTCTGCTATAATAATAATAATAAACTGTACATCACAAAAACTTATTATTGGTTGAAAAAAAATATGGGAGCTGGTTCAGTGTGAATTACCAAAAGTAGAGGAGTAATTAATTCAATCGCATCTTTCCAAAAGACATGAATAAAAGCTAATACATAATCGAACCTTCTGCAATAATTTACGAATGTGATATCATTTTATTTGTTGATGAAATGAGAATAATATGTTATTAGAAAACAATAAGTGTTTAGGTTTAATGAAAACTTTTATGGCAGTTTCAACAGTTAGATTTATACTGGAAATTCCATCTGGTATGCTGAAAAATTATACAAGATCTAATGGAGTCAGAACTTAATAAATATTGGATCAAATAATTTAAACAAATAGATACATTCACCGTTAAATGTTTAGATATGAGATATACCTGCAATATACCTACCAGGGTTTTTTGGCATAAACAATTCAGCTCTGTCTTTACAATAATACAAACAACATGTTAATATTAAGTCATCATTTGTCCCCTGAAAATTAGAATTTACAAGTCAGAATTAGCATGAAATGCTAATAATACTTATATTCATGGGAAAAAAAAAAAAAAAAATAAAAAAAAAAAAATAAAATAAATAAAATAAAAAAAAAAAAAATGTTTATGAGCAACCAATGAATCATAAGATAAGGACATAAAACTTTCAAGTTTCTGTATTTTAAGATCTACGTTAAATACTGAATAAAACTACACATATTTATACTACTGTTACTTTTTCCAAGATGTAGCAGTAAAATACATGGCTAGTTTTAATTTTTACTTCAAAACTAAAAATAAGAAGTAAGATTCATTTAAATTATGCTTTAAATTAATATAAAAGAACTGAAATTTTTATGCAAACACATCTTATTATATCCTTAATCATTTGTTAAAATTTCAGATATTTGCAATGATTGATTTATCGACCTGTAACACAAGGTACTGCAAAAAGAGCTCCCTCATTTCGAAGTTAAGTATGAACTTTATTGATGCTTGATATATGAATCCCTGTGATGCAACTAACTTCAGTCTTAGGAAATTATCACATCAAATGTGCTTGTTTTGCACTGCACAAACACCCAGTCACTTTCAAATTGTTGTACCATGCATAAATTGACTTGCCTGCATATACTTCTGCTAGATATTTCAAAGAAAATTTTCAGTACAACAATCACAACTGATTTACATTTAGCAAATTCTACAGAACATTTATGCTTACTACCACCAGCACTATGACAGCCACTTAATGTCTAAATCTATAAGTAAAGAATCTACCAGAAACCTATCAGAAGTGCATACTTGAGAGAGATCCTTTATTATCTTATTTTCAAAGGGTGACGTTAGGTACTTTTTTTGCTGTATTGGTTATGGTTATTTTACCATAAATTTTCAAAATCTAAGCGGAAACTCTGAATTATCCTGTCTTTGGTCACCATGACAAAAAGTTTGGGAAACACTGATCTACTGCAAATGGCAGCAAAAATACTGAAATGAGGAAACTGGAGTATACATTAATGAAATCAATGAAAATACTGTGATGAAAGCTGATGTACTGGAAGTATTAAAAATGGACTAATAAATTTGAAACAAATATGCAAATAGCTTCTTTCAATCTAAAATATTCTTCTTATGTATGGTCATAGTTTGTGTTAAATTATACCTAAATTTAATTCAGACCTCATTGAGCACTGCAAATTATTTATCCAGAATGAAACTGGTAAAAGTTAATTTTAAAAATGTATTGAAAACAGAAGTACAATGATAAAAAAATTTGAAAATTGTTACCTTATTTTTCCCCATCTCTTCACTTCTAAAACTTATAGTATGTAAAACAGATCCTTCAGATGTGATTGCCTTTAATCGGGGATGCCTCAAAGCAAACTGTTCTTCAAGGAAATGTATGGCTTCACGAGAAAGTACGGTAACTCTACTTGCATGCTCAGGAGATGTGTGCTCATTAACTCTAGTTCCTCTGGCTAAACCATCTAACTCATTTATCACTATAATATTGAAAAATATATATCAATAAGTAGGTTTTAGATGAAAAGAAAATTACTGAAAAGCACTCTAAACTCTAAAACGTTTCATTGCAATATATAATCAAATATTCAGAGTCGAAAGTGTAAGCGTACATGTGCACAAGGGACAAAATTCATCAGCATGTATACTTCCACTCCTTCATTACATTTGCTGAGTTTCTCATAACAGCTGGGTAAATTTTATAAGGTGTCACATGTAAAATGAGTAACCACGAACATAGGGATGATGGCATAATACGGAGTATTGTCGGCAGATTGGAGGCAGGGCAGTCACAAGCAAAGGTGTCTTTAGAGTTCAGTGTTAATTTCCAGTGTCATCTGCAATTTGTGAAAACAGTTTCAAGAGACTGGATCCCTATCCAGAAGACCTGGACAAGGTCAACCAAGATCCACAACAATGAATGAGGATAATTATTTGGCACTTTCAGAGCAGGGTCACAGAGCAGTTACCTCTTCACAGTTCTACTGTGAGGTGTATACTGCTACTGAACCCAAGTTTCATAGTCTACAGTTGCCACAAGGATTAATGAGATAGGGCTGCATGCCAGAAGGTCCCGTTGTTTGCATCCCACTTGCTGTGGCACACAAGACAGTGCATTTAGCAGGATACAGTGAACAAGTGTCTTGGAAAGGACTTTAGTGAAACACCATTCTTTTTATAGATAAATTAAGATTCAGCCTGGACATTGATTCTCAGATACCTGTATATGAAGAGAGCCTGGAACATACCATCTCTCCCTCACCACGGAAAAGGATCCTTATGGTAGTGGAGATGTAATGGTTTGGATACGCATTATGTTGGATGGACACATACGCCTGCATTCGTTTGACAAAGGCTCTCTGTCTGCTATACGATATAGAAAGAAGATTTTAGAGCCCTATGTTAGACTTTTCAGGGGTGCAGTTGATCCTGAGTTCCTGTTAATGGATGACAATGCTCATCCACATATGGCTCAGCTGGTTGACAATTACCCAGAAAGTGAGGATATTCGCCACACAGATTGACCAGTCACACCTCCTAACCTAAATTATATACAGCATGTCTATGATGCTCTTGTGAGGCAATTTCATTTCACCTTGGTGCCGGGGTGGCAATCGATTGCCACAGGGACTCCTCAACTGCCTTCTGTCCATTATGGCATTATGCTGCATTATTTGCCTAGCTGTAAGAAGGGTCTGTACTGTCTTTGCACTATGAGGTTATTGAAAATAACACATACATAAAATGACTTTGCAATATTACTGAAATGTCTGTGCTAGACATATAGTCAAAGGTAAAATATGTACACCTTTTTAAATCTTCCATGCGGTCAAAAATGTGATTTGAAGTACTCTGAATATTACAAACAGAATCTGAAAATTGTATATCTTTTATTTGTGTAATTATTTAATTACTTTTCATTTATTTATTTTGCCAAATTTATCAAATAAAACATTTAAAGCATTCAGAAAGCATCCTCTTATAATTTCAGCATCAGCAAAATTTAATATGGTTGCTGAGTACATAAAAAAATTTCATATGATATTCTCACCACTGCTGTATCTTATGAAATCCTCATTCATATTATATTTTGTTGTTGAAAAGATTTCTTAAAAGTTAAATTTTCAAATTCTATTAAAGGCCTGCAATACATAAATGACTTGGATTTTCTAATATAATGATCAATAATATTATTTTTAATACCATATTTTCACAGCAAAGCAAAAAAAGGTTGAATCATGTTCATTTTGCACAACAAAATATTCCTCTTTACACATGTCTTAAAATTACCTATTTCCATTTTTATATTTTTAATTTTTTAAAGATGCTTTTGCTAAAGTGGATAATACCATTCTATAAGTATAAGCTTGAAATTAAAACAACTGAAATTCAAAACTGATGTAACTACACAACTACAACTTGTGCACATGAAATGCAAGATTAATGCTGGACGTGCATACATGGCAATATTGCATTTGTATCAGTTGGTATTTCAATAGCTGCGCTAATAGGTAACAATTGAATACCTGCACTATTTACAAGAATGTAAATAAATTACATTTCAGGCCACAAACATAAGCTCTTTGGAATACATGTGACCTGCAGATTGAGTACTGATGTTCTAAGTACCAAAGTTTTTTAGATTCTCGTATGAAATATTGTATTTATATAGTATTTTTTACCTATACTTGCACAACTATTCATTGTAGCATTTGTTTTCATAACAGTTTAGAGCAGTTGTTTTCACACATTAAATTTTTTAAAAACGGAGGGGGAGAAAAATATTTTAAAAAGCATGGCATTATGTAATGTGGTGACAAATTTCAGGACCAGACAAAATTCAGAGGATTAATAAGCAATAAATTATATATTAAGTAACTCTTATGCTCTTGAATGACTGAATGGCGCTAGAACCTCAGTGCATAGGCTCAACGACCTACTCCAAAATTGAATTTACTTTAATTTCCCCCAAAAGTGGCAAACCATTGAGTTAGAAATTATGAGCTGCTGTGTCCACAGGGCCAGTAATTGAGACAGATATGGTCATGTCAGTTATCAATAAGCCAAATGCTTTGTTGGTTGTATTTGTTACTGATCCCTTCTCTTGTGGTTGTAATATAGATTATACATATGATGCATCCACAGCAACATTTATACAATACTAATGGGTTTTACCCTTTCTCACAAATACCAGAACAAGTGCTAAAATAAGCCCCTTCCCGCACACAAATCACATATTGTTCAGCATAGTTTAATCCGTTAAAATTCACACACATACAATCAAAATTTCAAATTATGCATTTTGCTCATAATGTAACTTGTTACACTTACCAACTAGTGGTATAATTAGATGGAAATCTGTTGATGCCAAAATGTTTCGAAAGAGCCGAAGATGATCAATGAAGCAATTAGTATCAGGAATTAAGTACCTAGGCTTAATTTTAAGTACTATAGGTCGCTGATTTTGATGTTTCTGTAGCACAGCCTGAAATATATGACATAAGTTCATATTTTAGTTTGCAACACAAAGCAACATATCACATATGTATAACAAAAATACTTAAAAATTTATTATTGAAATATGCTTACTTGGACCTGAGCTCTATATTTCTCTTGTTGCATTTTTGCTCTGCTTAATGCCTCTTTTCTAGACCAAAGCATCTGAAGCTCATTACTTTCTGAGATTCCATGGAAAGTTTCACCAGATAAATCATCATCTAAATCATCTTCTCTATGCAATTCATCAACAGACTACAAACAGAAAAATTAAGATAACATAATTAATGACTCTTTTCCATGTGAATTTACAAAATAACATATACATATTTCAAAGCTATCAGAGAGCTTACAGAAATAAGAAAGTTCTCTAAGATGACCACCTATAGTTTTAGATGATTTTGGTTTTATTTAGAGGTGATGTTTTCATACAGATGATTTATCTGTTTATTTAATTCCCATAAATACTAGTCATGTTAAGGGGAAAATGTCTTAGGAAAATGAGATGTCCACATAAATATTTATAATACAATGATTCAAGATGTTATTTAAGAACACTGAATTTTCAATGAAGTTACACAACTGAAGGAAAATATAACTGAGAACAATAAATGATACTTTTCTCACATATGTGAAAAACTATTGCATACTCTATTAAGGACAGAACTGACTGTAATGATTTCTAGATTATTTCTGCCCTTTGTTACTCAGTCTTATAAACAATAATGGTTGGGTATCCAGTCTTATAGATATAAATATTAATCCACATGTAATAAATATATACCACTGTAACAGAATTCCAAATGTTTATACATGTACTTTCATTTTCTATTTTACAGTTATTCATTAAATATACAAAATGTAAATATCAATGCATAAATGTTCTTATTTTTCTGATACTTGGCATACTCTACAATAATGTCCTATTCTCTGATACTAAGTTTTCTTTCTTAACAATGTGGTCAGTTTATTAGCATGATGATAACTCCCGATGCAGGTAGATGCAATATTAAATTTAATGTTGCCCAAGCAGCAAAGGACTGCTTAATGCAGAAGAAACAAGTTGCTGGAAATAGTAAATAAATATAAAATAATATATTCAAACAGAAAAAGATAACATTGACTTCTAATTCACAGAGGTCAAATATCTGAGAATTTGTTTCATGACAGCAACTTCATATACATATCTCACAAAGTATTGCATTCATCAATGAAAGCTAACTACAAGAAATACTTCATGTATTATAGCTTTATAGAGAATACAGAGGAAAATACAATTATGATACAACAAATAAAATTATTTTATCCGTAATAGACCTGTAATGCTTTAATTCAAATGGCTGGAGTAATACACTGCTAACAGTGCACAAAACAATACAGCAATTATACACTATAAAAACAATTTTTCAGCTCACTCTAATTTTAATGGGCGTCTGTCCAAATCTGAATTATTGTTCCATCAGATACAATTATTTCACATAGAGATTTACAGGTAATACAGATATGTATTTGGAGTTACAAAATAGATACACGCTTAATTTCCTTCAGTACTTATCATTGATAAGTATTTCTAATTATTCAGTTTCCCAAAATAAAATCATAACGCCCATGTAAGTAAAACAAAATCCACTTAGAATGTTAATGATATTTTAATATGAAGTATCATATCTTCATTTGCAACATTTATACAGATATTTGAGAAAAATTTATGAAATACACCACTTTTTAGTTAAATCACACTTTTAGTCTATTCTGATGTAAATTTTGAAATAATCATCAGATTATGATGATACTTGAAAAAAATAAAGAATCCATATTAAGCAAACAAAATGTTAAAATGTTATTAAATTGGTTGCTGACTCTAAAGCATAATAAACACTTTACTGTTTACTGATTTGATTTTTTGCTCTACAAGCAGTGCAGCCAGCCTCTGAAATAGTTATCATAATATGGAAAAATATATTATAATTTTAATAAATCCAGTTAGTGTAATTCCATAAAATGTTTAATATTTTGAGTTAGACATGTGTCTCTTAAGAACTGTGTTTATTGTTTTTAAATTGCTTGGTTTGTAAATCAATAACAGATTAAATCTGAACATTAATTATCTTACTGAATGGCAATATGCTGGATAGAAATATTTTATTTCAAGCAGTGGCAACACACTACTTTTAAATAGTTTGTTTGTTAAAACAGTCATTTTCATATCACCCAGTTTGTTAATCAAAAATTCATTATATTCATACGAAATATATGAATACATTTTTAAAAAACCTAAAATTCAAAATTGGGCTTCAGAATGCACATGTTTGGGTATTCAAAATTTGTTGACTTTAGATGCCACTGTTTTACCACAATGTAAGAAACATACAAGCATACGTGCATGCATATAAATTCTTTATTTTAATAACGCAGATAAGGAATATAAGAAAGCCTTTATATTTGCTCCCATCCCTAGTACTGAAACTGTTTTCATAAAACACTCTATCTCATTTTAAGAAATGCTGTTAATTGGGAATAAGGATCTAGGATCTAGTTAATTGGGAATAAGGATTGGGTCTAGGATAAGTATTTCAGAAAATAAAACTGCAGCTACAATTTTTAACACTTTACTTATTTCAATAAACTACAACCAACCTCTAGGTTTTAATTGGTAATGCAAACTGACTATGTTTTGATTTTAAGTTTTATTATACAAACCTCCCATTACCACGATACATTTAAAACGTGGAATTCAAAATACAGCAATAAAGACAACATAACATACGAAGTTAACACATTTACCGAAATACTTACATTCCTCATAACAGATCTTTCATAATGTTCTTCAGAGTATATATGACTGACCAGAGATACAAATTTTTTGCGCTCAATATCAAACTCCATGTGAGGGGGAGATATACCACACAGATAATCACCAAAAAATTGTATTCTACTTATTCTTAAGCAATGTTTTGCCCTATCCTGCAATTTAAAATGGAATACATATTATATTATCGGAAATATTCAGTTTTAAAAATACAAAATATTATTAACAAAAACATGTTTATGCCATATATATGATTTAATCACAATAAAAATAAACACATATTAACCAAACAATTCATTAACATAATTAAGATAAAATAACACACTGAACAAGTATTACTTTAGAATTCAAACAACAAAAATCAGCAAAGTTCTTCAGATTCATTTGCACTTTGGCAGCTGAGGATGATGGTTTGGTAAGACCATCGAAACTAGTCTTGTGAAAATTTGCAAATATAATGCTGATTTTTGTTGTTTGAATTCTAAATTAATGTTCATTAGCATGCTGCAATAAGTTGATTTTTAACTTAATTTAAATGAATTAAATTTCCAAATGAATGAAATTTCAACACTGAATGTCAAAAACATTAAGTTTCATTCCAAAATGACCATACAGCAGATATGAAAACATACATGTCATAACAAAACTAAATTTTCAATACCTTATCAAATGGTTGTACTGCATATGCTGGATCACGAAGTGCTTCAAGAAGTGGAACAAAGCCCGCAAATGCACTGTCTTCTTCCAAAATGATGGGCTCAGAATCTTAAAAAGATAATTTAAATTTAGTACAGTTCATTTTTACTTTAATAAAATAACAATTATTACTTTTAATAATTTACTTACTTTAATAAGATAATAATTATTACTTTTAATAATTAAGACATGCTGTATACAATTAATGAATGTAAATTTTGATAATAAAGAATTTTGATGATACTTGGCATTATAAAAAAATTAAATGCATATCAAGGCAAATGCATAATACTTTTCTATTTCAGAAGGAGGAGGGAAGAAGAAGAAGCTTAACATGATTAGAAATTACTGTTTCTTATACAGCATTTTAAAAAATATATAATAACCTACTGAAGCTTTTATTTCAGAAGTCAAACAAAAAAATATTTTAATTGAATTAGAATTTAATCTAACAGTTTTATAGTGCCTTCAATGTCTTCTCTAATCATTGTTGTTGCTCAGAATTGTTGCACAGCCTATAATCACATCAAAGATGATACCACGACTCGGTTTATTTTTTAAATACATATTAATATACACAACTTTTGAAACATTAAAATTTTGAAATAAGAATATAGCACTAAAATTTTCATAATTTGTGAAATTTTGAATTTATTCTTTTCAGGGTTTTAAAAGATTCTTCAATTTATGTGGTCTTTTACACAAATTTAACAATGATAAATTTGAAAAATTATTTAATGAATAAAAAAAGAAAACTGAAGTTATTTTTTCAGCACTTTCTTTGCACATTAGCAGGCAGCCAAATAAGAAAAGTCACATGTTTTCTAGCAAACACATATTTTTTTATGCAGAAATTAAAATCAAAATAATAATAAAAATCATTACTTGAACTTAGGGAAAAAATCAGATCATGGGCATACTGACAGTTTATCTTAAATTTGAAAAGAACATACTACGATCTTGCTTACATGAAGTTTACATTACTTTGCATATGGAATTAAAAAACACAATTGGAAGTATTCTCCAACTGTCAATTCAAATAAAGTATTAAATGAGTACTATGGTTTTAGAATTCTCTAAAACTGCTATTATTTTCTGGTATAATTTATTAATTAAAAATAATTTCTCGTGAATATTAAAAATTATAATTTATATTTCTCGTAATTAGTCTATGGCTTTTACTTAAATTCCTATTGATATTCCTATTTATGATTTCAAGTTAGTAGCTGCTTTCTTAACAGATACATGAATTCATTACTAAATTATAACTTGTCAGAGAACAAGCAACAAAGGCACGAAACACCGACAATTTGATCTGGGTTCAAATCTGGCAAATGGGCTGCCTGCATGGCTGTTTTTAAAGTTTTCTGCTGGTGCAATTTGAATATAAGCCAGTTTTCCTTAAAAGATGCTCTACAAAGGCATGCCTTCCATTAGCATGCTTTGCCACAATCAAGCAAATGAAACTATTCCTAGACAAACAACAGAAATCAAAGCAGAAGCCAATGATTTTCATAAGCATAGCATTTAAAATAGAGATTATCATACAACACACTTTTCACCAAAGTTAAGAAACACTTATTTGTAATGATGAAAACTTATCAGAACAGAGTATGTATGTAAGATGTCATTAATATATACAGAATTGACAACCATGTACATTATTTACATCATAATTATGCAATTAAATTATCTTTATGTAATGACAGAATTTCTGATGGCTGGGAGAAATTCCTATTCCAGTCCGAAATGATAGACTTCAATTTTCTTTAGAACAACCACAAAGTATGATATTTAGAAAGCTCTTAGCAGGTTCCTTTTCTGATAGCTCTGAATGTTAATAAAATTTTTTTATTATTATTTTCTCCTCTTATCCTTCGCTGCTCAGATAAATCAATATCATCATCAATACTCAGCCTTCTCGTATAATTTTCAAACTCTCATACTTTCCTTTCCTTTCTTTTACAGAATGAAGGTCAAGTTTTTCAATTTTATCAAAAATACTTCTGAAATTTTAGTTCCTCAATGAACAGTGAGCATTGGTAGACAATGAATAGTTGGTAGTCTGCATGAACAAAACTCCCAAGCACAAAAATACTTTTCTTTATAGACTGGAACAAGGAAAATAAATGCTGTCGAACAGGCGATATAAGTTGGGACATTAACTAAATATACTATTCTTTTCAACAAATAAAATAAGAAGAAACAGATCATGCTCTAAAAATTAACTTTATATGGATGCAAAATCTTTATAACAAGTACTATTAATTTGGTGATTATAAACTTGTTTAAATTCTTCTTAAAAAATTCCAATTAAATTTTCTTCTAGAAGAATTATTCTTAGTGAAAATATCCTTCTAAGCATACGAAGAAAAATCACAGCCTGATCTAACTGAGATGAGTTTAAAACTTTATTCTTGATTTTTATATTCAGTTTAATATGATGTCACTATTAGTTTTTAAGTCAACTGTTTTATTCTACATTAAAAACTCGAAAAATCTAACACAAGCATGTTTAACACATTCAGTGACGAGAACAATTTGATGTCTATTGATTTATGATTCATTAGTGACTTATCAATTCAACCGCCTTAAACTTCATATTTTCCCTATTTTAATTTGAAACATAGAAAGTAATAATAATTACGTTTTCATGAAACTAGTATTACTTAGTTTGGCTAAATAACTGAAAGTCATTCGGTCTGTTACAAAGTTATAAAAATTCTCAATTTACTATTTAAAGAGAGCAAAACAATCATCCTGTAATGATGAAAATTAAATATATTAAATTAAGATATAAAATTAAACTTTAAAAAAATTATCAAACCTTCAGTCCTTTCATTCAAGATCTCGGGGCTACTGATATCTATTTCTCGAAGAGCAGTAAGAAGTTCTGCAAAACACACCCACACATTTTTGTTGAACCTAAGAAGCAATTTTAAAAAATCCAGTTTGTACTGAATGCACTGTTTGTCAAATAAAAATATACTATGCATAAAAAGCAAATAATAATAATAATAATATCACATACAGGTGGAAACCATACTATAAAAATAATAAAATCCCCATAACACAAAAATTTACAGAATCACACTTCAGTTTCAGAAAGGAAGGAAATCCATATTAATCCTAGAATGATGTCTTCTGAGACTACATTAATATACATAAATTTTACATGTACAGTAAATATCTTTATATTTCTTAAAATTCCCTTTTATTTTATCCGTTTCGAAGAGAAACAATATTAGCATGTTTTAGACAATATAAATTCAAATTTCATAGAAATTTAGTAAATTTCAGAAAAAATTAAGACGTTTACCATTCCTTATCACAGCTGATACAGTGATAACTCTATATCCATGTGTAATAAGGCAAAATGCAGGTAAGTGAAACTAAGTAGTGAATGCTATGTAAAACATAACTACAATTAAGAGCAAAAGGTAAATTATGCAAGTGCATCATTACTAAAATTAAAAGACATAATTAAATAATAAAATTATGTTATAATGTTAATTAAATAATACAGTATAAAGTATGGTAAGCTGAAAAGTTCTCGGCCTGACCCCAGAGATGGCGCTCCATTCAGCAAAAATTTATGTTTTCTGCCTGGGTGCACGTTTCATTATTTCGTATGACCAGTTTTAACTTGTTCTCTCAAGTAGTTTGTTTATAAGAATTTTTGTAGACATCTTGCGCGTTATTCACTAAAATGGATAAACTTGAATATCGTGCGGTCATAAAATTTTTCTTTAGGATGGATTAACAGGATGGATTTAGGATGGATTCATCTGAATTTACCTAAAGCTTACAGGTTTATGAAAGTTATTTGCGTAAAATAACCATTTGTTCTCTCAAGTAGTTCGTTTACATGCATTTTTGCAGTAAACATCTTGCATGTTATTTGCTAAAATGGATAAACTTCAATATCATGTGGTCAGAAAATTCTTTGTTTTGGATGGATTAACCCCTAAGGAAATTCATCCGAAGTTGACAAAAGTTTACGGGGACTCTTCTGCTTCCACGTCAACCGTTAAAAAGTGGGCAGTTGAATTTAAACATGGTCGCACATCCCTTGATGATATATATACCTTTAAGTCGAAATATATACCTATATATACGATGGCTATCCCCCAAAAAAGGTCTCCTATATTTTTAGATATACAAAGAACTGTTTATTTTCTATAATTGCTACATCACTTTAAAGATTGAAGAATGCTTTATTTTTCAACATAATCGCCATTTCGGTCGATGCATTTTTGTAGACGCTGTGGCAGTTTTACAATGCCCATGTCATACCAGCTTGCCACCATGCCCTTCAGGAAGCGTTGAACCTCATCTTTTCAAGAAGTCCAAGAAGTTGTCCTTTTCGTCTCCATAGCGGCGAAGAAATTCGCAGGAAGAATCAACCTGTTGCCGTTTGTGGTCTTCTGTCAGCATACGCGGCACCCATTTTGCACACACCTTCCGATATTGCAACTTTTCCTTTAAAATCCTGTGGATGGTGCTTCTGGAAACCTCAGGAACCAAAATGCAGAGAGCATCCAGAGTGATCCTCCGATTTTTACGCATGACTTCCTCAACTTTCGCGATTGTCTCGTCGGCAATTGACGGCCTCCCGCTCCTTTCTTCGCCATGAATTTCAGTACGACCGGCTGTAAACTCTCTACACCACTTGCGAACATTTTGACATCCATGCACGACTGTCCATACACTTCCATCAATAGGCGGTGAATTTCAACCGGTTTAACGCCTTTTGCATTCAAAAATTGAATAACCGTGCGCACTTCGCAATTGGTGGCAACGTTTAATGGGAGTTCCATTTCGAATGGCTGCCAAGCCAAGACTGAGCATCCGAGCGAAGCGCCTGCATGCTTATGTGGTAGCGGAGAAGGCACCACTCACAACAGTGTTAACCATATTAAAACTTTCTCTACATCCCCAAAAAATAGGAGACCTTTTTTTTGGGATTGCCCTCGTACCTTCAAGAGTCGCACATCCCTTGAAGATATATATCCTTGAAGATATATACTATATATATATATATACGTGAAGGATGGCTAAAAATTGCCCACGTGAAGAATGGCTAAAAATTGCAACCACACTGGAAACCATCGAAAAAGTACATGATATCATGCTGGACAATAGGCGAGTGAGACAGCTGAAGCTATGGGAATATCGGAAAAAAGAGCGTGAAACATCTTACACAAAGAATTAGGGATGTGAAAGCTTTACGCAAGATGGGTGCCACATTTGCTGAATGCCGATTAAAAACAAATGCATAAACAATTTTCGCAGCAATCTTTGGACCAATTCAACAGGAATCCAACTGACTTTGTGAGGTGATTTGTCACCATGGATGAGACATGGGTCTACCACTTCATGTCAGAAATGAAATAGCAGTCCAAGCAGTGAGTGGAAGACTCTCACTTCCGGGAAGGAATCCTGATGTTGGAGAAATGCACGACAAAGTGTGTTGAAGTCAAGGGAGGTTATGTAAAAACCATTTTTTAACTGAAAGTCGCAGTCTATCATTTTCAGGTCGAGAACTTACCTTACCCTCATATTTTTTCTAGTGCCAATGGCATTTTAAATAAATAAAAAAAAATTATATGCAAGTAATGAAGAATGCAATACTAATGCTGTACAGCATGACATACTGCTTTAAACATGCTTGAAATATATAAGAATTATTCATTTTCTTAGCATTAGTAGTTTTGAAGCATTTCCTTTGCGGGGCTCCTTATTGCAGTAAAAAAAAAAAAAAAAAATTAATGAGCAAACAGATACAATAATATATTCAGGGTTGCCACTCAAACAGGAAAATGAAATTTCCTGACTTTTCCAGGTTTTTCAGGTGTGTTTTAAGAAAATTCCAGTCTATCTGCGTAATGCACGTTGGCTGTGATAAGAGGTAAATTAATTATGGTACCACTTGAAAACACAAAAATTTGCCAATTACATATGACTTATATATCTACAATATATGATTCCCAAAACATTACTATTATAACTATAATAGGAGTTGTTTTCGCCACTGAAGATTGAGATTAGAATCTGCTCAATCTAAATTAAAAATGTCTTTTTTTGCAGACATTTTGCAGCGAAATGGAAAAAAAAAAAAAAAAAAACTCTATTTAATGATATTTTTAAATAAATTCAAATATTTTATATTTATTTAACAGCATACATAAGCAAAAAATATGTGCATTAAATTTCGTGTTGGTATGTCATCATACTGCTAGAAATGGTTTCAGGATTATGCCAAAGAAAATTTCCTGAAATTTGAAAGTATTATTTACTAATAATAAATAAATTTAAAGGGAAGAAGCAACATTAAATGATACGAATAACATTAAAATAAAGATAATTATTTAAAAATTGAATTAGAATAATCAACAATATTTTGGTGATTTATAGTTATATTAGGTTAGCCTAGGTGACATTATAATTTTTTTTTATTTTACTGCAAAATGACAAATTAGGCATTTATTTAAAAAAAGGGGGGGTTAAAAGATTTTGCAGTAAATTCCTAGTATATGCTACGGCTTTGGCACGATTTTGAAAATTGTTGCCAACACCAAATGAACTGTTTACTAATCATCATAATGTTCCCAAATCCCGCATATATGGTACATGGAGGCTATTCTAACCTCCGTAGGATTAAACCGATTTTATTTTATACGAGATTACCTATTTTCCTTAGTTCAACATGCACTACATATGCGCATATGAGTCTCTCGATTCTCGGGGTTACTGGAAACCAAAGTTGACAGAAACTTGCTTTGCCTTTCTAATGATAATCTAACTGGAGCTGCGAAAATTGGCTCTATGCCAGCTGGCTGAATAATGCTCACATGATACATAATTCGTTAAGAAAGTGATTGCTTTCAACCTCAGCACAAAACTCGCTTTTTTTTGGGTTGGGGGGAGGGCGACATACAAAATTCCCCGACTTTTCCAGATATAATATATTTTCGTTAAGAAAGTGATTACTTTCAACCTCAGCACAAAACTCGCTTTTTTTGGGGGGGGAGGACGCCATACAAAATTCCCCGACTTTTCCAGATATAAAATAATATATTTTAATTCCCTGATTTTTCCCTGAATCTTTTAGTCAATTTTTGAATTCCCTGACTTTTTCTGGTTTCTCAGGTAGTGTGGCAAACCTCTATATTGCTAACAAGAATAGGAAGAATGCCAAATGCTTACAGAGGAAGAAAGTTAAAAAAGGTGGTGAATGGGTACTAAAACCAAGTTAAGCCAATCACTTTTTTACCATTGACAGCTGAAATTTCCTACCAACAAATTCATGACTCTCATGTTGGGATATAAAAATAAAAGTTTGAAAGATTTTCTTACTGCATGAAAATACACATTATTCTGTATTGGATATTTTCATTTCCCATATTTAGTTACAACTGCTCCAAATCATTACACATGAGAAGACAGTAATGGGTACATTTGAATATATTTCATTTAGGAGACTGCTATAATTTTGCTTACATTTAAACTTAAGAAACATGTTTGCAATTCTTTTTTCGTTCTTGGCCACTCCAGTCTGTGCATAATTGAAACTGTTGATATTTGAATTAGCAGACATGGATGGAGATATAGTGCTTTCAGTAAGGTTACAAAGATGGTGATTTCAGATTTATCACCTAATCGTTCTGATATTTACAACAGTATAAGTAGTATTTGATACTAAAGCAACAAGAATCAGCAAAAAAGCTGCATAAATTTGCGAGAATAGTTTTGAAGGTTTTAATAGAATTCCCTTCTCCAGCTTCAGAAGTGAAAATGATGAAGAGAAATGCACTCAGTCAATAATTAATAAAAAACTGCAAAAATTTCAGCCAAGGAAAGATTCAAAGCAACTAGTGCTACCTCTTGACAAAAAAAAAAAAAAAAAAAAAAAAAAAAAAGAAGAGAGAGAGAATTATTATGAAGTAATTTATTTATAAGCAGAAGAAAAGAAACTGGGATCATAACTAGAACTGAAAGATTTTCATAAATGTGAAATGGTTCTAAGAAACTTAATTCACCATCAGAAAATTTCTTTCAGTAATTTTGGCTGCAGAGAAAATTTACGTTAGGTTATTTGAATACAACAGAGCACATGAGGTCTATTAGTCTGCAAGGAAATGGAAAATGTAATTTCTTTTAACCAACAATGTTGAGCAATAAATGGTTTACATGTTTCTCTTTCTCCCTAACATGTCAGATACCATAAATAACAGAAAAACATAAGTATTCCATAGTTTAGAATTTTAAAACCATTACAAACCATCTTCCATTGGTGAATTAGATTTTCTAGAGACTTTTCACATTCATAAAAAATTTTCATTCCTAGCTAATGATCCCAACTCTAATCTATATCATTTAGGATTTGCACCCACCAAAATAAAAGTAACAAATTCAGATACAATTGTTTATTATTTTTCATATTAAAAAAAATTCATACCCCACATTCAGTTTTTCCAAGATGTGGGCAGGAGGAGGTGGCCACAAACTTTTCTGGCATGACATCCAATCTGTCCATATTTTTACCGAAGGCAACAATTGAGCTAGATCATCACTAATGATATGACTGGAATATTCTGGAGAAGATTTGTGAGCGATATGGAGAAAATGGCAACGCTCCATTAATAAAAACATCATAACCATACTTGTATAAAGAGCCTGCTCTTGTAAGACTGAAGTTCCACCAAACTCCCGTCCACTTTCTTAAAAAAAGTATAACTAAATTAATATACATAGATAAAATTCAGTTTCAATTTATTATACAATTAAGAGGAAAAAATGAACTATTACATAAATTATTTTAGAATTTAGGATTTCTGTGAGATATGAAGAGATAAAATAATAATTTTATGCAGTTAAAGCATGAAAAGCAGTAGGGAATTTTCATATAATTATAAAACAAATCAAGTATAAATTAGGTTTACAAATAATGATATAATGATATTTAAATATTTTTTTTATATAACTACGATCTAAAATATACATAAATGGTATATTACTGAATGAAATAAAATTATTTTATTGGATAGTACAGTTAAACCTCCATTAATAAACACTCCTCTCTAGAAAGCATTTCCCAAAAGTGAACAATACCTTGATCCTATGTGCACCCAATTAACAGGAAATTAAAATGTAAATTAAAAATCCTTACTAAAACTTTAGCCCTCCATGAATAATCAACTCCACTGCTTTTATATATAATAGCAAATAACTGAAACTTAATTTTCACTAAGCAAAACTTTCTCAAAAGATTTTGTACACAAATATGTACATAACAAGAAATCTGCATACAAATATACTACAGTTCAGTTTTCTTTTTTTTTTTTTTTTTTTCCTTTACAAAAAAAAAAAAAAAAAAAAAAAAAAAAAAAAAAAAAAACTTAAGAGTTTTCATTGTTTTTAGCACAAAGATTTCATGTCCTTCTGATATTGGATTGTTTTTTTAATTCATTCCATGCTGTATAACTGTTTTCTCCATCTTTTATTGCGAGTAGAAATGAGAACTTATCTAGAAAATATTGAATACCATTAAAAGTATTATTTCTCCTTTCAAGATAGTAACGTCTGGATGAAGTAATATTTCACTTTTCAGAGGGAAATTTCTGATGGCATAACTTCGTGCAGTTCAAAATAAGGGATTTCTGCCAAATCATTTTTTTTTTTTAACCCGCGAGCACACGCAACGGGTATGTCATACCCATGTGCATTTTTCTTTCTCACCCATTCTTTCATAAAAGGACGAAACTTGGTGTAGCTGAGTTCAAGGTCACATACTTAAATGGGGGAAATTCCTGAGGTGACAGGTGCAACGGTTTTTTAGGAACAGCATTGTTCGGGCATGTCATACCCGCGCGTGTACTCGCGTTTCTCAGTGAGTCACTTCGCACTTCTCGTTTTCAAGCTTTTAGTATAGGTTTTTCTTGAGTTGTAAGCATGGCGCCGTATATTCCTTACGATGAAGAGATGAAAAGATTGAGAAATCTTCTTGAAACAGTTTCTTCTGATGAGGATTCATTTAGTGAAGACGATGAAGATGTTGATGACGAAGAATATAATAGTAATCATGATTCATCCATAGAGAGTAGTGATTCAGATACAGAAACAGAAAATGAAACTTTGGAATGTAGCAATGAGTTTTATGTTGGAAAAAATGGAGTAAAATGGAACAAAAATAAATTCCGGACTAATGTTAGAATTGGCGCCAAAAATATTATAACTAAACCCCCTGGAAATACGAAGTATTCTAAAGACGTCTCACGTCTCAACACCTTTAGATTAATGGTCACTGCTTATCGATGAAGATATGTTAAAACATGTAGTCGACAATATTATATTGATTCAGTACGTGGAAATTTCACTCGTGAACGGAATGCGAAAGCAACAAATGAGTTGGAAATCAAAGTTTTAATTGGATTGCTGTATTTATGTGGAGTTTATAAATCATCCCATGTGAACGAAGAGATTTGTGGGCAACAGACGGAACGGGAATGGACATATTTCGGGAAACAATGTCAGTGAACCGATTCCTCTTTCTTTTACGATGCCTCCGTTTTGATGACATTAGAGATCGTCCCAGTAGAAGAGACGTGGATAAATTAGCTCCAATCAGAGATTTTTTTTGAAAATTTTGTTGCAAATTGCCAAAAAACTTATACTGTAGGAGAGTATGTGACCATTGATGAGAAGTTGGAATCATTCAGAGGTCGTTGTTCCTTCAAACAATATATGCCCAACAAGCCAGCAAAGTATGGCATAAAAATATTTGCTCTTGTAGACGCAAGGGTATTTTATACCTGGAGTATGGAAATTTATGCTGGTAAACAACCAGATGGGCCATTTCAAGTTGAAAATGGTGCAAGCGAAGTTGTCAAACGTTTAATAAGGCCCTTATACAACTCTGGTCGAAATTTAACAGTTGATAATTGGTATATGGGATATGAATTATCTCAAGATCTCCTAAAGAAGAAAATTACGATAGTAGGTACAATGCGTAAAAATAAGAGAGAAATCCCACCTGAGTTTCTGGCAAAGAAAAGAGAAGTATATTCTTCAATTTTCGGTTTTCAGAAAGAAGCAACACTTGTATCTTATGTGCCGAAAAAAATAAGAGTGTGATCCTGTTATCCACAATGCATTCCGGCGATCAAATCGATGAATCTACTGGGGAATCTAAAAAGCCTGAAATCATTACATTCTATAACATGACAAAAGGAGCAGTCGATGTTGTAGATGAGATGGCAGCTGCGTATTCTACAGCAAGAGTAGCACGTCGATGGCCTATGGTGATTTTCTTTTCAGTGTTAAACGTGGCTGCCATTAATGCAAGAATAATTCTACTATCAAAGAAGGAACCACCAACGGAATACCGTACCAGGCGTACTTTTCTCAAAGCCTTAGGGATGCAGCTAATAGAAAGTGTTCAAAATGAACGACGACGAGCATCTGTAGTTCCTGATTCTAGACAAACACTGACCACCGATGAACATGTTAACAATGAACCACCCCCCAAAAAACCTAAAATTACTTACAAGAGGTGTACAGAGTGCCCCAAGAAAAAAGATAGAAAGACTAGATTCATTTGTGAAAATTGTAGCAAAAGTATATGTATGGAACATATGACCTCATTTTGTAAACAATGTTCAAAAAATTGTAAGTAAATAATTTTACCTCTCCTTATTCTTTCATATTTTGTCTAAAATGAAGTATTAACTTGGTTTTACATTTAAATTTCTTTTAAAAACCGATTAATTTTATTCGGCAAATTTTTAATTACAAACTTTTTATTCGGGTATGACATACCCGGCGCATGTTCTTGTGTTCGTCGGATCGGTGCATGTGCTCGCGGGTTAAATTAGTAAAGCCTTGACAAATTTAACTAGAAATTTTGTAACATCAGCTCAAGTATTTTCTTCAAAGCATGAATCTTTGGTGATACAGATATTTAATTCCTCAAAATCAGCAACAGAGGGTAATAAAAAACAGTGGGTAATTTTTAGGTGAGACAAAAAAAAAAAAAAAAAAAAAAAAAAAATTAAATCTCTTTTACAAAAAATATAGTACAGTACAAGATCAGAAATGCTGGGACCAAAGGTTGTGCAGACTTTAGGATTTAAGGACAGAAAAGATAAATAATATTCAGACTAAAAGTGCAAAATAAATAAGGACATATACAATAAAGGACATCTATAATGAAGACATATGAAAATAACAAACATTAATAAAGCCTTCTATTTTTACATTCCGAACATTTTTCTCATAGAGGTATGTTTTAAAACTTCCATAGCAAACTTTTTTTTTTTTTAATTTAAATTATATAGAGCCATAATCTCTTGCTCTGTGACACAGCTCTGTTGTTCTAAAGATCTAAATCACTCCACTACCGCTGGAACCACTTATATAAGACAGCATTACGATATGATAATTTTACCTAATGCAAAAATTTTTAGTTTTAGAGTCCGATGTTAGAATCACTTGTTGCTGTAAAAATTAACGCTTTTTACTTTTTCACATATCATATATGGTCAGTGTCACAATTCCATATGATTCTGCTATAATTCTTATTTTCCCCTTGAAGCTGCAGGAAAGTTTTTTGAACTCTCTTATCATTTTAGCTCTTTTCTTTAATCGAATACATCATCTGAATTTGATCTTTGTTTACTGGTAATTTAGCAGCTATTTTTCTGCTGATAAATTTTTTAATAGCATGGCTAAATCATAATTATGAATTCTTTAAGGTGCTTTTCCACAAAACTTGCCAGACTTTCTGATGACCAGTCATAACAACCACATTATCTGCACAAAAGAAAACAGTTTACAGGAATATTTAATTTACTCAATTCATTAATAATCATCATTGAAAAAGTCTGACCAGTTGAATCATCAATTAAATTATGAAAACACACATCAGCATTTTTTACTTCATCTTTTGCCTCAGCTGCAACAATTCGCTATAAACTTGCTATCACTTTCATTGTTTCTATGAACAGAAAAGTAGACAGATTTTGGCAAAATATTTACCAGGTCTTTTTGATGAGCATTTGCCCTCTCACCAAGAATAGCAGAAATTGTTGTTCTAGCATATGAATATTTCTTTGCAACATATGAATCAGGAAAGACCTTGCTAAACAATGGACCAATAATTTCAGCATTTAATGCAATATTTAAATTAAACTCAGTAGTGCAACAGCCCCAGTGGGCCATAGCCTGCAGTTCTCAGAGATCTGCTTTCTTAACCTTGTGCCCCGGGGTGCATCACCATATACCCCGGGCAAGTGGTCAGTGAACTTGGTAATCATTTTATCCACCAACTCAAGGCATGAAAGGCTATGTCAACCTTGCCCATCCTGGGGATCGAACTCCTGACCTATGGTGCAGCTGTGCGACACACTAGCCACTTCACCACCAGGCATTCTAATGAAATTAAGTTCAATAAAAAACTGTATACATAAACACTTGCTCTGATTAATGCAAACTTCAAAATCAGCACACTTCTTTCTGATTTTTATCCAAAATTTGATTTTTTCCCTCAGATGTTTCAATATATCATTCTTCCCCCATGAGATATTGTATAACTACATCCACTTATGTAGCAAAATATATAAATACTTCAACACTTCCTTTGTGTGATTCTTTAATACATACACAGCATTGTAAGCCGATAACAGGCAAGAATGCTTTCTATTCAGTTTCAAACAAATTTTATCAAGCCAATACAAGAATATTTGATATATCTTGTGATTGGCAAATCAGGTCAGCTTTCTAGCTTAACAAAATTTTGTCACACACACACACACACAAAAAAAAAAAAAAAAAAAAAAAAAATCTCTTAAGATAAAAGTTGGATATCATATATATATAAAAAAGTGGTCAGATGTATGATTAATTTTCATACAATTTTATTACTTAATTTTATTGGAACTGATCATATCACAACAACACTACTTTATTTCAAAAAAGTGTTGAGAAACTGATAAATTATCAATTCAAATGTTAAAGTCATTTTAATGTCACTAAAAGGGTGATTAATCGCCAAACCTAGCAGACTGCCAAAGTAATGAAATGCTCAAACATTTCTTCGCTCTTCTTAGAAAAATGTGGATTTGTGTGATGATAAAGTGGAGCAAGGCAACCCCAAAGTTGATAACAAAGTTATACCATTCTTCACCATATAATCAGATAGTACTGAAAAAATATTCTAAAAAACAAATTACCATACTGAAATGATCTTTGGCATCTTTACAAAAATAAGATAAAATTCTTGAAGGGGGGGGGGAAGACTTGATACATAAAATCATAAACCTACAGTTTTAATTAAAAAAAAAAAAAAAAAAAAAAAAAGGAACATAAGTTACTTTTCCACTTTTTGAAACTTTGATAGTAAATTTCAATGGTAAACTCTTCAGTGTGTTAGACCTTAAGCTGTAATCTAAGTTTCCTTCCAGATTGCAATTTTTTTCCTCTCTAGTCCATGCAAAATTTCAACTATTATAAAGATTTTCATATAAAACATAAGGTTGTTAAAACAGCCTTTGGTGACATTTGAACATTACAGATTGGGTGATTAATTTTGCTACATTTGGAAGTTCATCGAAACAGATGTTTCAGAAGTACCATATTTAATCTAAAAGTAGTTAGTATGCAAAACAATAATCAACACAAATTTTGTAAAATAAAAAGATTTTCAAAAAATAATGAAGAAGAATGAACTTGCACTTATAAATTGGACAATCTTATACTAACACAGATCACACACTGCTTCTTATAATTTATTTACAGTACTCATTTTCATTCATAACCCCTTTTGAATACTGAAACTTCTCTATGACTCCAGCTATTATAAAGAATAACAATGTGAAAATAGGTATTTTCCCATAATTTATTTTATTTATTAGTCCAAAGGAGCTTTGTCCCTGAAGGACTATTGTTTTCGTTTTGCGATTTTGCGTTGAATTACCATAAATGTCTGTTTCACTTTTAAAACTGATGCCACCAAATATTAAGAGTCCTGCATTATATTTGAAGATATTAAATAATGAAAAATCTGCATAAATGTATGTCTATTTCTCGCATTGTGATAAAACAACAGTACATAGCGCCATCAAATTTTGAATGACGTAATCCTCCAAAGAATATGGGCATGTGGAAGACCAAATTTGAAATTTGGAATTTGTTTTATTATCGATTTCATATTTTGTAAAACTTTTAATAAATTTTTGAGTAACAAACTTAACGATTTAAAAGCGAGCAATGGCAACACTCTATGGCGGGGAAGAAAACCTTTTTATCGGAACTTGCGCATCGGAAATTTTAAAGATATGCTCATTTTAAAATTATTTTGCGGCATTGCTATTGAACTGAATTTTATGGTTTAATTCCAATAACATGATATTTAATAAATAAAGGTAACACACAAAATGTTAAAAAAAGTCTCTTTGGACGTAATTTAAAATCTGAAACCTTTCAGATTTTTTTATTATTATTTTATTTTATTTATTTATTTATTTTGGTAAACAACACAAACAGGAAAATTTGTTTTAGAATTTTTCAAGCATGCAAAAATGAATGAAATACGATCATATCTTAATGAGACAGATGTGCTCATTTTTTACGGCAGAGTAAATTGGTAATGTAAAGCATCTTGAACATTTTTCCTCACTCCTCCAGCAGCAAGGTTGCTGCTGTACATAAAGAATCTTCTACAACTTTTAAGTTTTGAAAGATATTTGCATTTAATAAGCATTAAAGCTGAAAATGTGGTTTCATATTAAGTATATTGCACTGAATGATAGAACAACATTTAATGCCATTTCAGAAATCGTGAGAAATTCAGTTCTAGCTCTAATCCAGAATTAAATTAAAACTTTTTATGGAAACTTAAGTTTTGAGTCAATCAGTTGCTCGACTAATTCTTTTTGGGTTTTATACAGAAAATCTCATTGACGTCACTTAATGTAATTTCCTTAAATTAATTTATCAGGATTAAATTTTCACCACCCCAACATTTTGTTTTGCATTCCCATCTGAGATTGTGATCCACAGTTTAAGAAATACTGATTGATTTATTAGGTTAGAAAACTGTTAACACCTAGACTTTCAGAAAAGGATTGTTAATACCATACCTTTTAGAGACGAATTAGCAACCGAAAATATATTTATTGCTAGTAACTGAAGAAGACGGGATGAAGTAAGGGGCAAAGGTGTTCTTTGCAGCAAGAAATAAAATTCTTTCAACATGTTGTTCAAAACTTCAGGAAATGTTTCCATCCTGTAACATAAAATTAAGAAAGCATGAACAAATGTTTATCTTAGGTTAACCTCTTAAGTTATAACATTTACATAATCAAATTGCAGTTCTCCACACTTAAAAATAAAATTATCTATATATATATATATATATTTAAAAAAAAAAAAATTCTTACACAACCACCAGAAATTCCACTACACTATATCTTTTCATTTATTTTGTTCATTTTATATCATTTGTAAAATAGATTCAAAATCTAAAGTTTAACATAACATAAGAAGTTCTAAGCACTTTAATGAACTCCGCATGAAGTTTTTCAATACTGAGAAAAGCATCCATACAGTCATTTAACATATATGGATCCTTGTTTAGTAAGTCCTGCCACTTCTCTTCCAAGACCCGGTTTCCATAAAGACAAATAGATGTCCTCAGGGAGACAAGCCATGTGGTGGACAGCAAGCGTTGAATTCTTAACTGGTAAACAGCAAAAAATAATTTTTCGGCATGACCTTCAAAGTATAGCACAATAGAAACAATAGACAGTGTCAAGAGAGCGCAATCACCAGATAACAATGAAGAAACCTCGCTATCACAGAAGGTGAATAAAATGAGGTCACAATAAGAGCAAAATGCACAACCTATATGTTCGGCTTCCAATATTCAGATCATCATCTCCATGGCTTGAAAACAAAAGTTCCTCAATCTGCTGGCCAGCAGTCTGCATTGAGCCATGGTGTTATTAAAGAATAAGTTTTTCGTTTTTTAACACATTAAGTTTCAGTCCGAGCCATAAGTAAATAAAAAAAGGATAAACATAAACAAAAAGTTTAGAAGAAACATTTTTCTTCATATGTAAAGACATAAATCTTGGACTGTCTGGAAAAGCAGAAAAATGCCATTTCATATCGGAAAAAGTCTTAATTTGAAAGAGGCAACAGTCCAGATCATTAAGAAAAATGAAAAAGAAATAAGAAGTTCAGTTACTGCAGGATCACCAACATCTGCAAAAAGTGCAGCTCGTTTCTGGGCACCAATAATTGAGAAGATGGAAAAAGGCACTCAGCATTTGGATTAGTGATAGCTGACCATTCAAAAAAAGAATTCTACTGAATGGTAATATCATAAAACAAAAAGCACTCAAAACTTACAAACATCTTTAAAAACATGAAGAATCATCAGTAAACCTTGATTTTGTGGCAAGTAAAAGTTGGTATGAAAATTTCAAAAAGTGTTTTGCAATTCATAACATAAGAATTCAAGGAGAATTTATATCAGCTTATCACGAAGCTGCTGAGACATATCCAGAAAAAATTCAAAACAATATAGAATAGCAAGGATACATAGCAGATCAAGTTTTCAATGCTGATGAAACAGGCTTCGGCGGGGAAAAAAACCTAGTACAGTAAAATTCCAGAAATCCGCAAAGCTTGGAACCAGAGGTTGTGCGGATTTTAGGATTTTGCGGATTTCAGAACAGAAAAGATAAATGATAACATTCAGACTAAAAGTGCAAAATAAATAAAGAATATTAGATATATTTAATTAAATTATTATTACATATATAAATTGATTATATTATTCATTGTATTATATATACACAGCATCGAGGTTTGCTGATTTCGTCTCATGCAAAGATTTCTGGTTTTGGATTCCGGTGTTAGAATGACTGTTGCTGTAAAATTTCAACAGCTTTCCTTTATTTTTCTGTATATCATACACAATCGTATCGCAATTCCGTACGATTCTGTTATAAACCCAGAAGTCTGTCTCCATCTTTTGCAGAATTTGCACTTTTTGCATTACCGTCAATTCAATGTGTTTACGCTTTTCAACGTTGCAAACAGTAAAATCATGAAAGCGATTCTAACCTGTAATTGTATTAAAAAGGGCCGAAGTTTAAAATATTAATTTATCCACAAAATATCCTGATAAAAAAAAAAAAAAAAAAGGCAGCACAAAATAATCTCGTGAAATAAGAAAGCTCAGAAAATACAACAACGTGAATTGTGACCTTGAAAGAAGTGAATCGTCTGCTTGCTTAAATCGATGAAGATTACAGGAGAAAAACTTTTATCATGTTGTCAATAATTTGGTATTTCCATCATGAGTCATTGTTATTCGGTAAGTATTTTTTCTTTGATGTTTCCTACTCAATGTTGCAGTTTCCAGAATCTATAAACTGAATGTTTATATTTTGAGAGGCAACGTAGATTTCAGGAGTTGGCGGATTTTCAGTATTTGACTGTAGCATTTTTATATCGGAAAAAGAAAAAATTGCACCCAGATTTTAAGATATCTGAGGATCATGTAATGCTACTTTTGTGCAATAATGTGTCATGGGACTTTATGACAAAACCCTTGCTAGTTTATAGATCTTTATATCCTCAAAACACTAAAAGATGTAAATAAGAACACCTTACTGGTATATTGGAAAGCAAATCCAAGAATTTGGGTTACTGGAAATTTATTTAAAGACTGATTTTTAAATTGTTTTGTGCCAAACATTGAATCTTATTTATTTAAGGCAGAAAAGTTTGAGCTTTAAGGCGTTATTACTATTAGATAATGCTTCATGTCACATATAAAATTTGAATCATCCCAAAATCAAAATACTGTTCCCACCACTACTTTGCTGCTTCAAACACTGGATCAAGGTATTATTTATATTTTTAAAATGTATTATATAAGATAAGCATTAGTGAATTTTATGCATCACTGATTTAAAATCAATGTAATGGAAGCTTTGAAAAGATTTTCAATCAAGAACTATATTTACATCATACCTCTGTCACTGAAAGAAATAAAACATTGACATTAAATGCACATTGGAAGAAGGCATGGCTCTCTTCAGTTAAATAGAAAACGTGCACAAATCTTCAGAAAATTAAATTGGTGACATATAAGAACTTGCTAAATCAAGGTTTTGTGGATTGATGACATTTAAGATTTATCATTGGATGAAGAAGTTGATGAAAATGGCATCCAAAACTAATCAAATTGATTCCGAGAACAGTTGCACTGATGAAGATTGTCCAGTTAATTTAACATTAAAAAATTAGAATAAGACCTAGGGTTAGCTAAAAATCTCAAGTCATTTTTCTTCAATGCAGACCATTCTGGTGGAAAAAAAGTCGAAAAAATTAAAAGGGAGCTAGCTCCATACCGAGAAATTTACAGTGACTTAATTTAAAAAAAAAAAAAAAAAAAGCTAGCAAAGTAAAATTATGGATTTTTTAAAGAGGGAAGATGCAAAAACTTTAAATGAAGAAAAAAGTTCTGAAAGAGAAGGCGATATCATTCCACCGGAAAAACATTCTTAACTGATTATAATGAACAGTGACGACGAAGAAATTTATTACATGAAAGTTGCATTAAAATAAATTTTTTTTTTTTTTTTGTGTTGTACATACACTTATATTTTTAATAAAAATTAAGTGGTTTCTGTAGAATTTTTTAAAAATATATTTGTTTTTAACAAGTTTTCACACGCCGTGGGTCCTGTACAACATGGGTTTCACACAACACAGCATTTTCTGGGAATCTATCTACTGTGTTATAGAAGGGTTACTTGAACTTACTTTCACATACACAATAGAAGGAAACAAAAATTATCGTATTTGCCAGCATATAAGACACACTTTTTTCTTTGAAAATAGATCTGAGAAACAGAGTGCAATTTATACATTGATATGTTGTTTGTGAATGGATCAAAGTTTCATGAACAGAGAAAATGGTTAAATCATTTAAGGGAAGGTACAGAGGAAAATTTGTTGTATGAGGTCTCAGATGCTGATTTAGAAGAGGTTTCAAGTGACTTTTCATTTAGCTCTGGAGATGAGTGTCTGGGTTTTGACGAAGGAGATTAAAAGATGTTCTTTCACAGATAGATTAGGTATTTGCAAAAAGTATTACTTTGTATTTGTATTATTTTATATTTAAAATATTGTAAATTCATTATAATAATCAGTATTAAAGTTTTATCCTTCAAATATGTGTATAAAAAGGGGGTACATCTTATAGGCCGGTGCTTCTTATATGCCAGCAAATATGGTATTTTTGTCTCACAATACTACAGTAAAGCAGAAAACTCATTTTTAAGATTAGCATTTAAAGATTTACATTTTTAAACTTTTAAAGATTAGCAATGAAAATGCATCTCTCACTTTTATACAAGCAAGCTAACATAAAAAACATATTAAAAAGTGTCTTGCTCTGTTTTCACAGCACTCTTATTAATATAAAACTTTTAGTAGTTATTAATATAAAACCTTTAGTAATTCAAAAGAGATAATCAAAGTTTTTGCTTGTGCATTTTTTTAGAAGTCTTACAGTCCCCTCTTCCTCCCCCAAAAAATTACTACACTAAATAAAACCGCATCATTTACAGGGATTAATACATGGAAATGGAAAATTGGATGTCTAGAACATTTATAACTCAAACTTAACTACTCAAACTTATCTTAACTTTATAACTAAACATTAAGCTTCCTCATTACATACTTATGACTCAATAAAAAATTTTGATAATATCTAATTCCCTGAAATATTTTACTTTAAAATTATTTAATTTTTTATTATAAATGCAATTCATATCTTAATTAATTTCTGAATTTTCAAATCTAATATCTTAATTGATTTCTGAATTTTTAAATCTACCTTTCAAACTCGTATTTTCGCAATGTTGCACAACATACATAATTGAAAACTATGAAATTTTGAAATACTAAAATTAAAAAACTTACCCAACTTTGGTAAAAAGTTTCCCATGTACATGCAAAAAACTTGTAACAAATCTCTTATTCAACTGAAAAAAATAATCAGACTATAATCAAAATACAAAATTAATTCGTAAACGGAACAATTTATTTGAATTTTTAAATGCCAGTAGATCATGCTTAAATGGTAATGGTTTTTACATCAGTTAGGTCATGTGGCTTTTGACCTTCATGTATGAGCATCAGTTTCTGTTCTGTGCTTCTGGTTTTGATAGATTTATTGGTGTAAACAAACTGGCAATTACAGCTCTTTAAATTAAAGGAACACCAGCGTTTTTGTTTATTTTGTTTGGAATTTATTTTATTATATTCTTTGCAGTTTTTGTTATTAGAATGTGGGGAAGTGAATCCAGATCAATGTTTTTATTTACTTATTTTGTTAGGAGAATGTGGGAAAATGCATCTGGCTGAGTATAACAGGTGTAATGTCCCCGAACTTCTGTGATGGAAAAACTCAGACCAGTTGCCCTTTTTACTTCCTTGTACGAAGTAAAAAGGAAGTATTGTAATCACAAAAAGTTTCAGGCATCATATTTCAATGAAAATACTCATTTTGAACGCTATCAAATGAAAATGAACGTTGTTTTTGCATGACATCTGTACGTAAGGACTGAATAAGACTCTTTTCCCCCCAAAAAATATAAAACTGATTTAAAATGAATTATAAAGAGTATTTTTTGTGGCATCTGTACATACATATTTTGCATAACTCAAAAACAAGTAGCCTCAGAATGTTAAAATTTTGTACATAAAACTGCTATAACATGTAGATGTGCACCTCATATTTTGGTTGCAATCGGCTGCACCAAACGTATATACATATATGTATATCCACTCTGTTACCCGGCTCAGTGATCTCAGTTTCTTTACTCTTATATGTTTGTAAATTGTGCATTTTTTGCTTTAAACATAATTGAATTACATTGTTCTTATCTTCTGATTAAAGTTTTTATGCCTTTAGTAAATCTGCATGCAATATTTTTAAAGTTATGAAGAAGTTAAAAGTTGTTTAAGTTCAGCTAAGCCTAATTATTTTTGTAGTGGCCGCCATGTTTGTTTACATTTGAAATTTGGAAGAATAGCGGATTTGTTGCTAATCTAGAAAAACTCAGCTTCACGACAACAAAGATAACACCTTCTTTTATTATTATGAATTAAAGCATGCTTAATCCATTCTGGAACTGATTCGAGGAAATAAGTGTTTAGGATTTACTTCGTAATTTTTAATATAGATATTTCGAGTTTTTATGTATTTTTGCCTCGTCGGGAAGTGAGAACTATAATTAATTCAATGAGAAATACTGAATCGTCTGTGAAAAACTGTTTCTTTTTTGTTTTGTTTGCTTAATTTCTTCTAAACATCATGTTCGATTTATTATGGTATTTGAATAGAACATGTGGCAAGGATTAGATAATTCTTCAAATGATATAAATTTTGTGCATTCTGAGTTATGAGAAATGTAACGGTGTTAAGTGAACCTAGCATCAGAGTATCGCTATGGTATACAAATATAGTGAATTTTAAAGAGTGCATTTATTCTATTGTGATTGATGCGCTATAAGCTAAGTAGATCTAATTCAATCCAATAAGTTTAAATGAAATGCAAGAAAAAATGCATATAATATAATATTCCATACAAGGAAGTCATGTGGTGTACACACCAGACTTTTTATTATTTATTTTAAAACTTAACATAGGCTTTCTTGGTTAAACTGAATTCGTTGAGGAGATGGAACTAACTGTAAAAAAATATTCAAGAAAAGTTATCAGAGAACACCAGTTGAATACTGTTATTCTTCTTGTGGGAGTAAATAACATTGCTAAGCAAGAAAAAAGAACCTCAAGAAGCTCTTTCTAAACAAAACAAAACAGGTTGCAGTAGAACACATCAATCTTTATGCATGAAAGTGTTCAGATGAAACATATTCAGCTTCAAATTAAAGAGCATTCAGCAAAGCATATGGATCTAACTGAAATCTACATATTTTTGGGTCTTTTATATGTCACAGTTGTAACAAAAACAATCAAAAGATATATAAAAGAACTCCTATTTTAAACAAAAATAGTTTAGAAAAATTCTGGTTGATAGACACTGAGTAAACATTTCGTACTTCAGCTTATCAAATATGCAGGTTTACTTACAACAAAAATCAATACAAATTAAACTAAATATGCATACATTAAAAGAAATTCCATTCCCTCAAAACAAATACATATATTAAATACCTAAATAAACATATATCACATCAATTCAAACATTTAATAGCAGATATATTATTTTAAACAATTAATATTATATGTATTATATCAAACAAATAAATAAATATCTAAATACAAATTTCAAAATTAATCATCTACATTCAAAATTATTATGTTCAAACATTCAAAAAATTACCTCAACATCTGACAAATTTTTTACATCAGATGAATCAATATTTTTATCCATTTCTGCCGGCTGCTGACTACTAGAGCCATCAGGTTTGATCCACACTTCACAGCGCTCATCTACATCATCATCAAGAATTTCCATATTAGGTGCATTCTGCTGAAGTCTCTTCTTCTCATACTGCTCATACTATTAAGATTTATTAAAAAAAAAAAAAAAAAAAAAAAAAAAAAAAACCACTTATTTATATATTTAACATAAAAGTGTCAGCAAAATTTTAAAACTATGTTTACTGTTAATTACTAGCCTGGCAAGCTCATACTGCACAAGTAGAAAAGTTAGAGAAATTCTGTATTGTTATATGCATGCATTAGGGGAAAAAATGTAAATAAAATAACTAATTTTAACAAAAACAAGTCCATAATCTGCTTTCAAACAATAATGAATTTATTACCAGAGCTGAGGAGTCTGTAGGGAAAATGACCGATTCTGACTCCTGGAATTTTAAAGACTCCGACTCCCTCATATATATATATGTAATAATTCCAAATGTGTATATGAAAACAGTGGAATTTTTAACAGCTTTCGATATTGTGTAGATGACTGAGTGGAAAGCATGATGATGCAATTTAGCACAACATATCTTCAAAAACCACAATCTTTATTTTTTTACGCATATCAAATCATCCTTTTTTCAGACAAGATGTTTCCTAATTACATTTAAATACAGAAGTTGCATTTTGAAGTACGACGCCATTTTAAGCATGTAAGCAGCAGTATGAAAAGCGTTTTGCCGGCAGGAGGGCTTATGCGAAAAAGGGGAAGAGTATCATAGAACTTCAGAGGAAGAAGGGTGGAATAAGAAGAAGAAAGATGTAAATTTTTTATTTCATTTATGGTTTTGGTATGTTTTTCTTAAGAAACTTCTTTTCTAAATCTGAAATGAATGTTAATTGAAGCTAAGGTATCTGAAGTGTAAAATTTATCAATGCTTTGCCCGCATATTTTGAGTTAGTTATTAAATGACAAAAAAGAAATAAAAATCCCTTAACCCATTAGCCGCTGGTGTTGCGTTGACGCAGCGGTCAAAATAAATGCGTATATAAATATAACTAACTAAGATATTTTATACCAGCAGATGATTTTGTGTAGGGATATTATGAAGATTATTTCTGTAAAAAATATTTGCCTTCAACTCATTTTGTTTATATAATTAATCTCATACTTTAAGCAAAATTTTCGACCGGGTATTTTTACTGAAAATATTTAAAGAAAGAATTGCCATCTTTATGAGTGATCTATTTTTAGTCAAGATCAAGACTAAAAAGTCTCGTGTGGGACGGAAGGAAATCAAAGGCAGTTACCATACAGAATGGATATTTTGCGTCGCTAAGCCTAATTTCATTTTTTAAAAAAGTTTCCCTTCTAGCATTGTAATTTTTGGTATCATTTTAGATTATTACTTGAACTCTTGTATTGTTAAAATTAGTGCTTAATAATTTTTTTTCTTTATTTTACGTGAAAATATACTTAAAAAATTGCTTATCTTGTAAAATAATTTTTGGAAGCGCCATTCAAATTATTCCAAAGTTTTAATTGATTAAATTCTGCAATAAAATTTAAAATTAATAAAACAACACACCAAAGACTATTTACAGTAAGAAGTAACAAAATTTTAAATGAAGACTGAGTGTGGTAAATCTCGAAGCACAGAGAAGTATCACTTTCTAACTCTTAAGAAAATGAATAATCACTCTCATCTGCGTTAGTAAATGGTTCATTAACCATATGAGGGTATTCTTCCTCTGATAAATAGTGCCTTCCGGCCATAATAGACTGGAGGTGAGGCTTTCCGAAATAAAAAGAGAAGAAACGGAAATATATCTGAATGCAATGTAAAACTTAACAGAACTCCACATAAGTAACCCTAAAAGACGATACATAGTAGGGGAAAAAAATAAAACTAAAAAAAAAAAAAAAAAAAAAGATTTGATATAAATCAGACACGCGAATGGTGAATGTTTATATTATATATTAGCACCTGTGGATTTAAAGAGCCCACCTCTGTTTACGATTTCCCTCCCCCACCCTCGCAACAGTTGTTGAGTAAAATACCAAAGTTGGGCAGAATATATCAAACTCAAGGTCAAGAACCTAAAACTGTGTTCATTTCAAAAGTAATGGACATAGGATGCCATCTAGTGGCCTTCAAAAAAAGGTTCCAGCTTAAAATGCGTATACGCATCACCCGTCCTCTGAGTGCAATCTCTAGTGATACGTGGATGGGACGCCCGGCTGTAAGATGCATTCTTAAGGAATGTGTATATGGGGTGCTCGTCCTGAAAAGGTTAAAACTACATAGCCATATAATTAGCATGATTTTTCTAAACCCAATTGTAGAACCAAGATGGTCTTAAATACCATCTCTCTCACCAAAATATTAACTAGAATTGGAAATCATCTGATATAAATTTTTCTAGCCCGAAAGATTTGATGAAAACTATAGTATATCTTAAAATGTGAAATGCTACTATAATTAAATTTGAAAATATCAAATTTAATTTGTAAGATATTATCCAATTAAAAGTTTATTTAAGACATATAAAATATTAAATTAAATCTTACTTTTCTCTTTGCTTCTTCAAATAAGGAAAGTAAACTTTCCTTAGCTGAAAGGAAGGGATTGCTTGCTGCTAAACTTCGCATATAGTAATAAACTGCATCAAGTTTTCTTCGCTACAAAAGAATATTTCAAAAAATTAAATTGTATTAAAAAGTACACAAGTTTTCTTAGAATTCTTTAAAAATACATTGATACATACAGTATTAAAAGCAAGAAGAGCTAGCTGGTGGTAGGGTCTGCCATTCTTAGGAGCTATCTGCTGTGCTTTCAAATACCAACTAAAGAAAAAAAAAAAAAGCATGAATTATTAAAACAGTTCCATTCAATATGAATTTTTCATCCATATTAAACAAATAATACTGCATTTTTCATAATACAAAGCAAATATTAAGAGATATTTTTAGCAAATAATATATATATATTCATATATATTCAGCAAATAATTTTAAAAATAAGCGAGGAAAACATACATAAATGTGATGATGAAAAATAATCTATTTAAAAAAAATTTTTAAAAGAAAATTTTACATTTTTAAAATTGTCTTAATACTTTATTTAGTTAATACTTGATATTATACATTAACAGCTGCAAATTGAGTATATAAACAATGTCACTTTAATTGCTTTTCCTTGCACTCCCCCTCCCCAATATACACTGTGAAAACAAAGCAATTTTTTGTTGGCAAAAGATTAAGCGATTTTTCCTTAATTCAATTAGAAACTGAAACAGATGTGCAATATCGGTAAAAGCTTCAAAGAAATACAATGAATAACATTGCTATAAATTTTATATCACTATAAGTATTTTTTTTCATTTTTGTATTAAGTTATTATAATTCATTATTTCTTTTCCTAATTGGTACTTGACTATGAGACCATGAGATGAATATCATTTCTAGAGCTTCACTAAAGTCCATCAAAATGGTATATAAATACTAATATTTGGAATTATATTTACAAATAAACTTCTTATATTAGTAATTTACAACATTATTGGATACTTTAAACAACTTTTCTGTCATAACACATTGTACTAGAATTAGAGATTGACACACTTCACTATAGATTTATCATTTATATCTCTTATTACATAAAAATTTCTAATAAAAAATTGGTACTTTATCTAGCACCCACTGATACATCACCAAAAATACTGTCTGCCATTCCAATTTTTTTAACTTTTGCAACCCTAGAAGCAATTTTCGATTCTCCTATAAAGATGAGATTTTTATTTTTTTCTTTCTTTTAACATTTCCTTTTTCTGGGAGGTGCTTGCTTTGTTATTTGTGAAACATTAACTTCCATCTACAGATCGGCATTCACATGCAAACAATACAGCGTGTGGGGTAAGCAAAATGGAGGGATATGCAGCAGTGCAGTACAGCTAGTCATTACTTAACTTTTTACTTGTCAGAACTCATATGAAGATAAAGAGAAGCTATAGAGAATAACAGTTTGATGTCACTGCCGAATAATACTAGTTGAAAGTCAAAAAACCAAATTTTGTTGACAATAGCACCAAAAGACTGTTGTGGTTCTATTAACAAGTACCAAAGAGCGAGCAAGTGGCCAAAAATATGTTATATAGAGCCACTAAATATAAATTTAGGAATTTGTACCTTACAATACAAATATCTCTAGATGAAAACAATTATTTTCACTTAAATCAACGTTAGCTTAAAAATATAATGCAAATAACAAAAGCAAACCTTCTAGCTTTTCCAAAGTTTGATGTCTGGCAGACTTGCTCTTTATATCGAGCGAGGTCACCTAAATAAATCAAAATTTTTTGTGTGCTAATGAGAACAACACGAATCTGTTCAGGAATGCAAGCAGAGTTAATACATTCCATTTCTAAAAGTCTTGCTAAATTAAAGCCATAAGTTTCTTCTTGTTTCTCGAGCAAATTTTCATAAAATAGAGTCCCCTAAAGCAAGGGAAAAAAAATTCAATCATACAACAAATAATAAACAATTTTTAAAATAATTCATATAACAAATAAAAAAGAATGACAAAGTCTGCACTTTCTCAACTTTTAAACAGAATAACTGAAGAAAAATATTCAGTATAAATATAGAGCAGTTTCTACCTCAAGAATTATATTTAACAGATTTTCTTTTGCTTCCTCCACATGATCTGGATCTTCTTCCAGTCTTTTTCTAAGAGATTCAATTATTTGATAGAATGCTGTCTTCCAAAGACTTTGTTCAGGATTTCTTTCAGCACAATACTTTGGATCAGCAAGTATAATATTCTCATATCTTAACTGAAGTTTCCACCTGGAATGCAGAGATATTCTAATGAGCTTCAAAGAAAAATACCAAATTATTTAAAATCATTCAGAAAAATTATAAATTAAATACTAAAAAAAGTTTTATTAACACTGTTTATATATACATATAATTGTAAGTAAAATATAAAATACAATCACTATCAAAATTACTAATTCAATTTGCAAGGAGACCTTTAAATTCCTAACTTAATCTAAAGACAACCAGTTTGCAGCGATGCCTGCAGTATTCCAAACTGAGAATGCTTTTGCCCTATCATTAGACAGGATTAAAACAATACAACCAAGCTTCTAATACTTCTGCAGCTAACTACACATTCTCTTTTGATACTTGTTCTATTTTGAATAACTTAAGTCTTTTTCTTAATTTGCATTCTTCCACTGTTCTAAAATGTAATTGCATATATAAAATTACAAAACATTTAGCACCTTTAATGCTGAACCAATTAAGTAAAAAAATGTGTTTCTAAATAATTTTTCCTGTTCAAAAATAAAATGTTTTAATCATCAAGCTAGTTGTGATTTTTCCCTCCATTTACTATGCAGCAATAATACTTCAAGCTATCTTCTGTCATGTGAGAGCAATATCCTTCTCCAATCTGGCCAAGATTGAAAAATAATTGGTGTCTTCTTCAATATATTTTAAAACTATATATATATCAATTAAACAAACTCTCTACAACCTACAATTATGCTACTTTAAGAGCATTTTGAAATTTTAGAAAACAGATTGCAATTTATTTAACTACTTAAATAACATTCCTTTTACTTTTGTTTAACATACACTTTGTTTCTTCATTCAATTTAAGCATAATATATGAGGGTTGGAACTTTAATAGTGGCAACTATTTATTTACAAGGAATACAAAAGTGATTCATGTCACCATGTTTTACAGTCCTTCAATATAGTCGTCAGCATTATGTACAACCCATTTCCAACGATGCGGAAGTTGCAGAATACCTGTAGCAGTGCCTGTTTTGTTGATAGTTTGTGTTGTAGAATGGACCGGTCTACTGCCGCAAGAATCTCAGGAACAGTTTGGAAGCGAGTGCCATGAAGTGGTTCCTTCATCTTAAGAATTAAGTCATAGGCACAAGGGCTTAGATCTGGGGAGTATAGTGGATGGTAAAGCACTTCCCAGCCCCATCGCTTGAACAAATCAGTCACAGCTTGCGCTGCATGCGGTCAAGCATTGTCATACAAAATGAGAGGAGCGTTCTGCAGAAAGTGTCGCCGTTTTTTTCTCAAAGCTGGTCGGAGATTGTGCTCCAAAAATGAGCAGTAATACTGCACAGTGACGGTCTGCTGTGGGGGAACGGTATGCGTTAGGATGACACCATCACAGTCGTATACGAGAATCACCATAACTTTCACATTGCTGGGGTTCTGACGAAATTTCGAACGTCGTGGTGACCTGTGATGGCGCCATTCGTTTGATTGGCGTTTCAGATCTGGCTGGTACAATCGGGCCCAAGTCTCATCCAGCGTAATGATACGGCATAAAAAAGTATCTCCTTCGCGCTCATAGCGCTCCAGGTGGGTTCAGCCAGCATCGTATCGTAGCCATTTCTGCATTTCCGTCAATAGATGTGGAACCCATCGTGAAGCAATTTTTCTCACGGACAGGCGTTCCTTCAGAATGTGCAGCACAGTCGTATGCCAGCTGATGTCCATTTGTCCAGCCAGCTGACGAATCGTTTGGCGGTGATCACTGTCCATTAGTGCGGCAACAACTTGCACGTCTGCATTGCTGACACTCGGACGACCTGGCCACAGCATGTCTGCCACGTTTTGGCGTCCTTCATTGAATGCTTTCACCCATCTTACTACGGTTCTGTAAGGCAATGCAGATTCCCCGCAAGCCTCTTGAAGCCCTTGATGACACTGTCGTGCTGTACGACTTCTGGCACATTCAATTTTTATCCAACATTGTTGTTCTTGTTTTGAAAACATCCTGAAAATACTTACTTTAGACCGCGAGCTAATACAAGGATTTGTTCTTTGCGTCACTCTGCATGCACGTGACGTACGCAGGACGAGTCTTCTTGCTGAGAGGTAAGGTAGGTATGTAGTTCACGTGTGGTATAAGCGATATTCTTTGGTTTTGTTGCGTAGCGTTTTCAGCTGTGTTGCCACTATTAAAGTTCCAACCCTCGTATATATATATATGATTAAAGCATAAAATATGTGTATATATTTATACAATAATGTTTAGCAAATATAAGAAAAATAACATGGAAGACTAAACTGACCCCATGCAGTGAAAACATTAGTTCGTCAGGCATAAGCTCTAAAACAAAATGCTAGTGTTTAGTGGCTTTTATATATACCAATTACACAAACTTTCTGCAGCCTTTAATTATATCAATTATGCTACTTTTAACTACAGCATTTTGAAATAATAGAAAACAGACTATGATTTATTTCAATATAAACATAATAAAATTATCAATATATAAACTAAAATAAGAACTGAATTATTATGTCTCATTTAAACTGCTTCCTTTTTATACTTTCTCATTTCTTTCACCCTAACACAAGGAATTAAATATTACAGTTTAATTCTCATTAGAATTATAAGAATTTATCTTTTTCTTATAATTGCTACACATTATTATATAAATATAATATACACATATAATTTATGCTTTAATCATGTATTTATTTTGAAAATTAACTATTAAACCTTTTTAAAAGGAAGTAAACATTTGAAACTTTGAATATAACTTAAAAGCATACGGAAATGGCCTCATGTCTCATTAAAAGTGAAAAACTATTATGGATACGGGTACCAGAGCCAGACACTTTCTGAAAATTAACTTCTACTAAAGTGGCCATGTTAATACATTAATAATGCATATCAATCTACGCTACTTTGTAAACAAATCGGTCCAAATCATGCATGCTCATGGTTGCAACCACAGTATACAAGTAATACAAAGAAAAACCACAAAACCTCATGCAGTGAAAACATTAGTTCGCCAGGCATAAGATCCAAAATAAAATGCTAGTATTCAGTGGCTTTCAGCCGATTATCCAATATTAAGCAAGTTTATTTTGAAGAAACAGAATATAATACATGTGATTTTCAGAATTTTAATGATGTTACAAAATGTTTGGAGGGGGGACTTTAACACTTACAGCTGCAGCTAAAATTTCATTAGTATATAACAGTATAATTCATTAGTCTACTCTAGATAATTAATACTTACATGTTACAGGATTAATGCCACTTTTCTATTATGTAGTAAAATATCATAACTCTATATTTTTATTAAACTTTTAGCGTCTAATGGGTTATATGGCTGATAGTAAAATTTAAAAAATTCAAGAGGGAAGCACATGTATTACAAATATACGAGTTTGTGTCCCACGTGAGTACTGGACTTTGACTAAAATTTTCCCACAAATTTTGAGATTCTCTCTCATTCAGTCTACATCCAGTTACAAAGCGAGCATGTCCTAACCTATACCTGTGAGTCTGTTTATGGTTTTTGATGCTTTTGTTACTGTAAACCAGTGGCTAAAAGTAAGAATTACTTTTAAAATTGAAAGGTAAATCAATTATGTTTTAATTCCCTTTTCTACTGAAAATTTCAACATGGGACATATACATCCCTCTCGAATTCTCATTGGAGATAAATGTGTCCTTGTTAGTTTTTGTTCTTTTTCTGCTCAAAAATATGTATATATATACAGGGTGTTTCATAGATCATGGGACAAACTTGAAGGAGTGGTGCAGCGTACTAAAACATGAATTTTTTACAAGACTGTAGGGTCGTAAGTGACGGGTTAAGGCAGAAACGCAAAAAAAAAAAAAAAAAAAAAAAAAAAAAAAAAAAAAAACGACATGGCAGGAAAATGTGTTTATGTACAAAATCAAAGCAAAGTGCTTCTTTGTAGCAATACAGTATTCACAAATAAATGTTCACAACTGCGACCACCAGCAGTAACACATGCTTGGTAATGTCGCAGAAAGGATTAATAAACATTTTGAAAAACAACAGGCATTTTGCACTTGCTTGAAGCCGCAATGGATAATCGTCAACAAGGTCTTCCAGTGAGTCAACGGGAGTCTCGTAAATGATGCTCTTCAGATAGCCAAAAATAAAAAAATCCTAGCTGTATAAATCTGGCGAACGGGGTGGCCATCGAACGGGTCCACCACAGCCAATACATGGGACCGGAAATGCCCCATCCATGTAATTGTTGACCCGCATGCAGTTATGGGCTGGTGCACCATCATGCTGGAACCACATGCGATCACGAATGACAGCCGGAACATCCTGCAGCAATTCCAGTAGCACCTCTAAAAATATGATAACATAAGCCATTTGTACCTGCAGGTAAGAGGTATGGGCCTATGAGGTAATCGTTAACAATACCCGCCCACACATTCATGGAGAAGCGGGTTTGGAATGCATGTGAACGTGTGCCGTGTGGATTATGAGTTGCCCACACGTGCATGTTGTGGATATTCAAAATGCCATCCTGTGAGAAAGTTGCCTCGTCCATGAATAGCACATCCAACGGGAAATCCGCCTGCTCCGCACACAGCTGCAAGAACTAATGATAGAAATGAACTCGAAGAAGGTAATATGTCTCTTGCAAGGCTTGAACTCTCTGCAAATATTATGGGTGCAAACCATTTTCCTGCAGTACTCTCCAAACGGTGGAATGACTCAGCTGCAGACAACGTGCAACAGCTCTTGTACTTGTCTGAGCTCATTCATGCGCAATGTCAAGATGAATTCTTCAATGCGAGGTTGTCGTGCACTTCTTCTTCCATTCCTAGTGTCAGAGATGGCTTCAAATGACCCGTTTTCACACAGAGACTGATGCAACCTCTCAAACATTGTGTGCTTCGGCATACGCCTCTTCGGAATCCGTTCCCTGGTACAACAGTAGCGCTGCTCTGTCGTTCCCATTAGCAGCACCATACATGAGATGCATGTCAGCTTTTTCCCTGTGCATAAACTCACCCATCATGCTCGACATCAGAGTTGCAAATGATCCTCTCGTGCATCGGATCGTGATTTGACCGGCTCACTACAGCCCTCTACCGCTCCTATTATTATTAGTGTTCCCTTTTTTGAACATTTATTGTGGATACTGTATTGTTGCAAAGAAGTACTTAAAGTTGATTTTGTACATAAACACATTTTCCTCTTGTGTCATTTTTTTTTGCGTTTCTGCCTTAACCCGCCACTTTAGACCCTACATCCCTATACAAAAAATGCATGTTTTAGTATGCTCCACCACCCCTTCAAGTTTGTCCCATGATCTATGAAACACCCTGTATATATATATATATATATCAGAAAATGGAAGCTAGATGATAGAGAACTGTAACAGCTTGTTAATCGTTTTTGAGATGAGCCTGGGAGGATGCAGATCCATTTCAAGATAGTGGGTCTGAATATGCACGCTTCTTCCCCCCCCCCACAAAGATGACTTCAGAATCTGAGATAGATGAAAGTAACTTTCTTCAGGAAAATCAGAAAAGCTCAAGTTCATCAAGAAAATACTGAACCAGAAGTTAATGGCGGGACTAAAGAAACATGCGAATTTTTTGAAAATGTAAAATTAAAAAAAATTAAAAAATATATATTTTTAAGTTCTTGGATATTTGTGTTGCCATTTTACTATTTAATTCATAAAAAGTAAATATATATATATATATATATATATATATATATATATATATATATATATATATATAAATTAAAAAAAAAAAAAGCAATGTTAAAGGGTTAAAGATTACTGAAACATTGCTGGGGAGCTTATCAAACACATTATATTTTGACTTAAAATTGTTCCTTAATTTTCATTTCCATTTCAAATAATACATTTTGTTCATAATTACATTTGAAAATTAATCAAAAGATCCATTTTTATATTTAAAAAAAAAATCCTTCTCTTTTAATCCTCTGATGGTCATCCTCGAGCTTAGCTCACATTCTAAATGCAGACAGCAATGGATGCAAACAATACAAATTACAAATTTACTACTGACAAATATTGTGCATATTTGGAAGGAAGAGACTTGCTTAGTGTTGCAACAGCCAAAGGGCTAAAAAATTCTTTCCATTCTTAAAATATTTAATAATATTTTCAAAATGAAAATAGAAAAATTTAGCAATAATGCTTATAGTTAAATTTATTGTATGTTCTATATTTTTAAGTCTTTTTATAACATATAGCAATACATAGCATTACAACAAAGATGTCAGTGAAACCTAAAAGTAAAATTACCTGCACTGCCTGAGAGCATTAACATTGGTGTTACAAACTCCTTTAGATATCAAAGATGCTAATTCCCTTTCCAAGACAACAATATCATGCAAATTCTTCTCTACTATAGGTTTTAACCTAGAAATGAAATATATTACAGAAAATTACAAAGTTTCTCAAATATTAAGCCATTTAAAAAATAAAATATGAATATTTCGATTTGAAATGTAAAGCAACAGTAACAAATATAGAACTTACAAAACATTAAATAAATAAAGGTACTTTAGTATTATCCCGCTGACTGTGAAACTATCGCGAGATAATGCTATTTAGCACCACTTATGGATAAGCATGACATACCAGCAGACTTATGACATCTACACTTTGGGTTGATGTGATCCCTACTGATTCTCAATTAGCCATCTTCTTTTATGAACAAGGATATAAATTAACTACTACTGCTGCTTTTTTTAGCTTGAATTTTGAAAAAAAATTATTAAAGATTGATGCTTGCCATCTACAAAATAGCAAGCAAGCTATGGATTATTTTCAAGTTCATTGAATCCTTCCATTTACCCCCCCCCAAAAGTATTGAAAGACACGATACGGCCAACTGAATATAGCTGACAAGACAGTAATAGACTGTAAAAGTTACCTGCCAGAATTTTGCACTCATATTCCTCTAAAATCATATGGCCTATTAAAATGATAGAAATCAATGAAAGCCTTTTTACAAAGTTTGAAAACAAAGCAGGCAGAATACTGACTATTTATTAAGAAAAGAGGCATCAATTCATTCAGAATTCTACAGGAATGATTGGTGCAGCTTTGGAAGAATCTCTACCAACTTCTATGATTCGATGGTAGCCAACTTTCACAGTCAGAAGAATAATCTGTAAGTGCCCATAATTTGGTTTACAGCTGAAATCAGTTAAAGTAAAACATATCCAATTATCAATTAGTATTAACAAATAATGGAAATTTACGCAAAAAATAAATGATTTTCTTAATAACCACAGAAATATATTTAAGAATCTCTCACCCACAGTCACTTCCATCAAAATTAGATGGTTTTATAGCTCTACTAGCTTATACCCGCACCTTTGCTCGCATTGATATCCTTAAATAAGTTTCAAAGACTATTGAAAAGAAAAGAAAATAATCTGACTTTTTTTCTTATTACCTGACCAGGATAATCAGAATAAAATTTTAGTTACTATTACTTATTTTTTAAGTTAAAAATACACTCCGCGTAAAATTTCAGTATATACTGCTCTTCTTCGAGATAAAAAGAAATCCATATTGATGTCATTAAGATGCTATTCTGCATAATTTTTAAAATTTGATTTGGATATATCAAACATTGCAATCTTATTTTTTTTTACTAAAAAAACTAAAATAAAATATAATTTAAAAAACTGAAAAACATGCATATCTCACTACAAAAATAAATAACTTTCATTACCAAAATTTCAAAAAGTTTAAAGTATTAATAAAATGTTAAAAACAATAATTCTTTCTTGGATGAACATGAATAAGATTATTATTCTAGGATGCTTCTGTATTCTATATTGTATGTTTTTCCATTTGGTGCTAATACATATTAATTCCTGGCTTTGGATACACGCAAACAGGCAACATATAGCAGTTGATCATGGGAAAAGCATGACTTTTCCAAATGCACCCCTTTCTACCTGTAATGTTTACCCTTGAGCTTTGTTAATAGTAACAGCAAAACTAAGTTTGATTGTAAACTGCAGTCTTTTAAAATGAAATGGTAGGTCAGTGGGGATTATTGGGATTCGAGGTATAACACTTTCCCCTTTTCCTACACCTGTTAAAATAGTGGTGCCGATTATATTCTGACTTAATTGCGTGATCCAAAGCCTCGTTTCATTACACAGTCGAGGTGCATCTATATTTCGCATAAGCATAACTGGTACATTAGTTTCAATTAGGAGTTTATGTGAGTGAAGGTACACCTGATAGCTCTAGTAAGGAAATAAACAAAACGAGATATCTTACCATTTTATTAATACTTTAAAATTAAAACAGGTGTTGGTTAGTATCATAGTAAAAAAAAAGTACTTAAAAATATACAACTTATACAAAAAAATTTCTTAGAAACGAAAAATAAAAACAATAACAGTATTTCACAGAAAAATGTGATTTCAAATAATCATAACCGTTCTTTCTTCAATTGTAACACTATAAACATTTCTCTGTGGGAAGACCTACTCTATAACATCAGTGCACTCTAACGTGTGACAGGCATAATACTTAGTATGACATTCGTAGTTTCCTAAACAATTAACAGATGTTGCTGTAAAAATTGTACGTTTTAAACCTTAAAATTAATATTGTTAAATAAACATTAAATGTTGAAAGTTTCATAAAGATAAGTTAAACCAAGGCCAACTTATACTCAAGGCCTGCCAGTGCAATTTTTTTTTTTTTCGGTGGCCTCCATGAAATTTCTACTGAACGCAAGATGGCTACTGACGAACTAATATTCTGCTGATTGATCTTCTAATGGTACCGCTTCAATCCATCGTGTATAACGATCGATGATGGTTAGAAGGTATTTGAATCCTTTGCAAGGAGGTAGTGGACCCACCAGATCTATGTTTAAATGCTAGAATCTGTGTGGAGGTACTTTGAATTCTCCCAAAGATGAATGTGTATGTCTGTGAACTTTAGATCTTTGGCAAGATAAACATGCTCTAGTCCATAGTTGGCAGTCTTTATTCATATTGGGCCATATGAAACGTCGTGTTATCAATTTTATCGTGGATCTTATTCCAGGATGAGATAAATTATGGATTGAAGAAAATATTTTCTGCCGAAACTTTGCAGGGATGTATGGTCGATTATAATTTGTAGAAGTATCACAGTAAATTTTCTTGTCGCTGTCCGGTATAGGGATCTGTAGGATTTTTAAGTTTGGGTTGTTTTTAAGTATCTCCAAGTCGTCATCTTCTTGACAGTCTACTATAGTTTGTAAGTCTATTGCAGATGGTACAGAAATGGTGTCTATGCGAGAGAGAGCGTCAGCGACGGTATTTTCATGCCCTTGTATGAATCGGATATCGGTTGAGAACTGGCCAATATATGACAGTTGTCTAGCTTGTCGTGGCGAAGCTTTTTCCAAATTTTGTTGGAAGGCAAATGTTAGTGGTTTGTGATCCGTGTATATTGCAAAATGTTGCCCTTCTAGGATGTATTTGAAATGTTTTACTGCTGTATAGATGGCTAAGAGTTCTCTGTCGTAGGCACTATATTTTTGTTGTGCTGATGTCAAACTTCGGGAAGAGAAACTTAAGGGTTGTTTTGCATTATTCACAATCTGATGTAAAACGGCTCCAATGGCAGTATCGGAAGCATCAGTTGTTAGCGATATTTCAGCCTTTTCGGATGGGTGAGTTAAGTTTGTGTCATGAATAAGTGCATCTTTTAAGATCTGGAAGGCGTTTCTTGTTTCTGCCGTCCAGGTTATTTCTTTTCTGCAGTTCTTTTTAATACCACTGAGCTGAGCAATGTTGTTAAAGGTTGTTGCAATTTCGCACAATTTGGTATGAATCTGTGATAAAAATTCACCATACCTAAAAATCGTCTTAAACTAGTAAATGACTTTGGTTCTGGGAAATTTTTGATGGCATCAACTTTCGTTGAAAGAGGTTTAAGTCCTTCAGCTGACACTTCGTATCCCAGGAATGCAAGTTTTGTTTGACCAAATTTACACTTTGCCGCATTAATACACAGGCCATATTCGTTTAGTCTCTCGAGGACTGCTCGTAGATGTTTTCGGTGAGTTTCTTCATCTGGAGAGGCTATTAGAATGTCATCCAAATAGCAAAACACGAATTCTAGTCCATTCAACACACTGTTCATGAAACGTTGGAACGTTTGGGCCGCATTTCGTAGGCCGAACGTCATGAATGGGAACTCGAATAAGCCAAAGGGAGTGAGAATGGCCGTTTTCGGTATATCTTCTTCGCGAACTGGAATTTGTTGGTACGCTCTAATGAGGTCTATGGATGAGAAAACTTTTTTTCCAGCTAAAATGGAACTGCAATCTGTTAAAAATGGAGAGGGTATCTATCAGGAATCGTGACGTTGTTTAACGCTCGATAGTCTCCACAAGGTCTCCAATCACCTGATTTCTTCATAGCGAGATGTAGTGGGCTCGACCAGTTACTTTTGGATGGCCTGCATAAACCCATTTGGAGCATAAATTCAAACTCCTTTTTAGCCGCTTTAAGTTTCTCAGCTGACAGTCTCCTGGCTTTAGCGAAAACTGGTGGACCTCTGGTTTCGATATAATGTTCGATGTTATGATTTTTTAACTTTATTATTAACTACATTCAGTTTTAACAAATCCGGAAAATCGTTAATGATACGTTTATATGGATCATTTACGGCATTTAAAATCGGAATATTATTATTGTTATTTTGAAAACAAGGAGTTCCATTGGTTGTTAAGAATGTAGTACCATCAATCAACTTGCGATTTTTAGAATCTACCAAAAGGTTAAAATTTGCAAGAAAATCCATGCCTATTATCGGTTTGTTTACCTCCGCAATTACAAAAGGCCATGTGAATGATCGTCTGAGTCCAAGATCAAGCTTGAGTAATTTTTGGCCATATGTTTTAATTTTCGTACCATTTGCAGCAAAGAGTTCTAATTTTGAGATGTTTTTTTATCTGCAGGCAAGGGAGGAATGACAGAAATTTCTGCCCCAGTATCTATTAAAAATTGGGTAGCCGATTCTTTGTCGCTGATGAAAAGACGACTCAGCTGCACCCCTTGTCCCTCCGTCGTCAATGAGAGACGGGGAGCTGGTTTTCCGGACTATTTGTCTGTGATGTTGATGAGTAGTTGCAGGGTTGTTTACACTTAAATGACTTATCACCGAATTTTTTATGATAGTAACAAATATCACTAGATCTGTTACCACTGGTAACTCCTATTGATTTGGATCGGTTACGACAATGTGGCGTTGCTTGTTTAAAGCAGAAACTTGTAAGCTAAGTTCACTAACCTGTTTTTGTAAACTTTCAATCACTTCCGTTTTTACCGTTATGGATGATGCAGCAGCTATTTGGGGAGTAACAGGGTTTAATTCCCAAATCTTAT